CCACTGTACAGGATCGCCTTCAGATGACTTGGGAGTCAGTGAGCTGCTGGCTAGTTGCACACCCAGGATTTTTGGTGATGCCCAAACCTAGCAAAAATCTGGGACATATACTTCAGCAGATGGAACAAATGCAGTAGTTCCTATCGACTACTGTAATGTGTAATTGAAAGGATTATGAATCTTTCTTCAATCTCCCTTCTCCACTTCCCTTCCTTTTGAGAAAGTTTGACTTGTAAGCTCCTCAGGGCAGGGAACTGTCCCCTTACACAATTTAAACTGGTATGCACGCTGACGGCACAACAATATTAACACCAGCTTAAATGTAACAATTTACTTCTATTATTATTATTTTTTAATTAAAAAAAATTAATTTTTACATACCAAATTTCCATTTAAACATATCAATTGCCTTTACATTTAGGATTCTCAAAATCCTTTGATTTCCCTGCGCCCTTCTCTGGTTTCCATTGTACATCCCTTTTTATTCAACTTATCCTTTTCCCCCCCAATTTGTTATATCTATTATTAACTTTTCCAATATATTTTGTCTTTCACAAATATTATTCTAATCCTGCCAAAGTTTTTAACTGTTTACAATGTTCTCTTAAGGAACCTATAAATTTTCCCCATTCTCTCCTAAACTTCTTGTTGTCCTGGTCTCTGATTCTCCCGGTCAATTTACTTCTATTTGTCCATTTACTAAATCTTTGTGGATGTATACAAAAGACAGAAGCATAATCTCCTTGCATGGACCGACCTTATCTCCAGCTTTCCCCTTTTATATTCAGTTGACGTTTCGCAGGATAAGTCTTTGAAAAAGAATGACCTCTGATTCTGGCTTTGAATCATGTACTGACACACATGCCTTCCTTTGCCAGCAGTGACCCAGTAATAATGCTCAACGGGCAATTTTCGGTCACACTTTTAGCCTAATTAATTGGCCCTGGGCCATGCGTTCGTGCCAAGATGACATCAATGGTGAATCCAGCAACCCACACGAGTCCCAGCCTTATTTGCGTTCCCTGCTTACGTGCAATCCTTTTATATCCAATGCTAGCCACCTTTCCGCCGGAAATAATCGATCTAGAGGTAGTTATTGCACTTTGGAGCTTTAGGTGTCTTTATCTTTTATAAAGGAGCCTTGAACCCGTTAAGCGAGCTCATGTCTTAATGATGCCCCAACCAGGACAAATCCTCTGTTGCCCCTGAACCATTTCCAAGACAAAACAAAAGACCCTGTGAAATATACTCAGAGTCGAGAGTGGATTTCATGCTCTTTATTCAGCTCATAGTGTTGAGGAGGAATGGAAGTTCCCCCAGAATGTCTGCTTCATACACATTATTTACACAATGGGCTCCACATGATTGGCTAATTCCGGGATTCTCCTGTAGGCCAATCAGGTCGTGAATTCACTTTCTTCTGGAGTTGGATTGGGTGGCTCCTGTGGACCAATCAGACTGCTAAATTCTGGAGCTATTGTTCTAGGACCAATCAGACTGCTGCATTTTGGATCCTATTCAACTCAGTACATCACACCCTGCTTTGAAACGTCCACAAAAAAAGTTAACCACCAGAACTACAGCAACAGCCAAAGAAGCAGCAGTCTATATGGCAAGATAAAACATTGGTAATGATGTTCATAAATGTGCTTTTCGAAGTTGCATCTGAAAGTCCCCTTTATTTAATTGCTGGATTTAGCAGAACGCCTGCCCTCCCATACCTCTTCAGTAAAGCTGGTATTGACACCACAGAACAGAACGAAAGTTATTTTAGTGTGGCAGCTCCTACACTTTGCGAACTCCCTGCCTACGTTCAAAGTAGTACTCTTCTTGACACCTGCGTAAAACATTTTTGTTTAGGCCTGCCTTTCCAGACATATATATGAAGACGTTGACGCATTTATAATCTCTTTTGCTGTTAATTTTAATCAATTTTAAATGTCTTCCATTGTTTTCAACTGATAATTTAACTCGGAGGCTTTTCTGCAGTGAAGCAATATATATACGTTTTGATCAATAAATAAAACAATATTGCAGATCGAGTTCAACAACAGCCTCTCTTTTACTGTCTCCAGTTTTATAAAAACAACAACAAACAAACAATATTTGGGTGAAATAAGCTCTCGCCCATTTCCAGTTAAACAATTTGTGTAGCTGAATCAGTTCATCAGCTGCAGAGTGAACAAGGTGGCAGAAAACAGCCTCCTTCCCTTGAAACCTTCCTTTGCTCAGTGCAAGTTCAGTCTAAAAGTAAAGAGCCATTAAGAAGGGAGAGCAGGGAGTTGCCCATCAGAAGTTAGCAGAACCTAGACAGGAGACAGTGTCATTCCCACCACGGTGAGATAGGTTGTATTTGTACTTCCACGTTAGCAGTTATTGCTAAAGATGCACCTATATGCATATAAATTGGCACCTACAATATTATGTAATCTTTGGGGGTGGTGATGCATTCCTCTTTGGGGGGACAACGTGTAAGCGCCCATCCTATCTGTGAGTGGACATGGTTTTGCTTTTCTGAGAAATAACCGGTTGTATGAAATATATCCCAAGCACAGAGATGCCCATGCAAATGTGAGATTCACAGCAACTTCCACATTCCTTTGCTCCCAGCAGAAAAGCCTCTCCTGAGGGTCGAGGGACTTTAGTGGGAGAGAAGCAACATTACTAAGGGACGCGGGTGGCGCTGTGGTGTAAACCACTGAGCCTCTTGGGCATGCCAATCGGAAGGCCGGCGGTTTGAATCCCCGTGATGGGGTGAGCTCCCATTGCTCTGTCCCAACTCCTGCCAGCCTAGCAGTTCGAAAGCACACCAGTGCAAGTAGATAAACAGGTACCACTGCAGTGGGACGGTAAATGGCGTTTCCATGCGCTCTGGTTTCCGTCACGGTGTTCCATTGTGCCAGAAGCAGTTGAGTCATGCTGGCCACATGAACCGGAAAGCTGTCTGTGGACAAATGCTGGCTCCCTTGGCCTGAAAGCGAGATAAGTGGCACACCCATAGTCGTCTTTGACTGGACTTAACCGTCCAGGGGTCCTTTACCTTTTCTTTTTAACTTTAAAAACTTCAAAAAAGTAAAAGTAAAAACATATAATCATGATCATAAATAATTTGATTAATTTATTTGCTTGTCCAAACTATCTCAGGATGGGCATATGTGTTACACTTTGTTTTGACTGAAGTGAAATAGAAAATAAAAGGGTGGATCCAGACCCAGATATACTTAGAGTAGATCCATTGAACTTAATGGGACTTAAACTAACTTCAGCAAAGTCCTTAACCCTAGAGCTTTTATGAGCCAACAGCAAAGCTTCTGTCGCGTTTGGCTGGACTTTACCGTCCAGGAGTCTTTTAATTGAAATAGTTGAAATACTTTTATTGTCACTTGTACAACTTGTATACAGCGAGATTACACGAGCACCCCCCACTCAGCTCTCTTAGTCTTAATTCCCCTCGTTTACTGACGCACACCCACCAAACCCAAAAGTCAGTTGCCCTGTTGTTATCTTTTCATTCAGCAGCCTAACAGCCCACGGATAGAAGCTGTTCTTTACCCTGTTGGTGCGACTAATCATGCTTCTATATCTTCTGCCTGAGGGCAGGAGATCAAGAAAGTGCCGGCCAGGGTGTGAATCATCCCTGAGAATTTCCCTCACACTCCTGAGGCAACGTTCTTCCGCTATTTCATCCAGCGGATTCACGGGACAGCCCATAATATCTTGTGCTGTATTCACCACCCTCTGTAGGCACTTCCTATCAGATGATGTCAAACCAGCGTACCACACCGTGATGCAGTATGAAAGGACACTTTCTATTGTGGACCAGTAGAAGGAGCTCATCAGATGTTGATTGACATTGTTCTTCCGCAAGACTCTGAGGAGATGGAGTACCTTTACCTTTTACCTATATGCAACATTAATACAAGTAGACACTTTCCTTCAATGAAACATTTTCAGGATGAAAACATTACAATGCAGAAACAGCAATATTTAAATAAATTTAAATAAATTCATTAAATAAATGAATTGTTGCATAAGGACTGGGGGCTGAATGTGAGCAGGTTGTGTTAGGAAAAGCCAGCAAGGGAGTTCGAAGGCCAGACATGCCGGAGTTCGGAGTTGTGGGGGCCCCTAATTTTGGAGGGGCCTTGAAACATGCGTTTAAATATCACATGGATTTCAGTGTTGACTATGGAAAGGGGGCTGACTTGTCGAGAAGGGACAAAAATATTGTCAAGTTGGAGTCTCCCCGAGTGAAAGGAGCAGAAGACAAAGTAAAGTACAGGTATAAACATGAAGAAGACCTGCGGAAGGGACATGGAAAAGACTTAAGAGCCTCGGATATAAGGTCACCAGGTTGATGGACTAGATGGATGGGATAGAAAGGACTGACAAAACCCGAGACCAGGAAGAAGAGACGATGGATGAAGATTGGAAGAAAGTTTTAAAAAAATTATTTAGAAAAGTATCGTAAAATTAATGAGTATTAGAAAAATGTTGGAATGAAATTATTTGGCTTTAGCAGAAATGTTAAAAAGAATTATGTAAGAATATGTTATGGTTAAAAGAATTTGGTATAAATAAGATTTAGGTTTTAAGTTTTTGGTTTTTTTATGGTAAGATAAGGTTAAAATAGATTAAGGTAATTTAATGACAGAATATTGTGAAAGATGGAAAGGATTTGCTGAGATAATTAGCAACTAGAATACAAAAAAGGGAGGTGTGAGGAGGTCGATGAAATAAGTTAATGAAAGTTAAGGATTTGGGAATATTGGATTTGTTTTTAATTTTTTGTTTATTTTTGCTTTTTGATCTTGATGTATTGTGTGTTTTGTTTTTTCTTTTTGACTTTGGTTTTTATTGATTTGTATTGTTTAATTGTTACTTTTATCTACGTTTTTCTTTCTTTCTCTCTTTCTCTTGTTTTTTCCTTCTTTTTTCTTTGTAACTTTAAAATTCTCAATAAATATCATTTTTTAAAAAACAAAAACAAAGGCCAGACATGCCTGGGATAGCTCAGCTGGTAGAGTGATGAGACTTTTAATGTCAGGGTCATGGGTTCGACCCACATTTAAACAAAAAAATTCCTACATTGCAGGGGGTTGGACTAGATGACCCTCGGGGTCCCTTCAAACTCAACGATTCTATGATAAGTGAGATTTGAACCAGGATTTTTCCTGGGTGTTCATTCGTGCCACCACACAACAAGGCATGATAACATTCGAGCAGCCCAAATGTAGCCCATAACACATACACAGAAACTCACTTCTTCCTTTTTAATGAACGGCAGCCACTACCAGACACCAAGACTGGAAACTGCACAATAACATTTGCGTGTCAATAGCTCATCCTTGAGCACGTGCCCTATAAAACTTTCCTTGCTGAACAGTCCTCCCCTTAGCCGCTGGATGGCAAAACAAGAGGAAAGCGAAATAGCAAAAACTGTCATTTTAAAGGGAGGAATTGCAATTGCTGCCCTCTGGTGGAGATGATGCAAAACCGAAAGTGTGGAGAACAGGCAATTGCTTCCACGTTTAGCCTTGTTATCCTCTCGGAATAGTCAAACGCCTCCGAGTCACCACCACATCTTGCAGTAATAGTCAACTTTGCACACATCAAATAGGTAATTTGTGGGATTTGCCAGTTCACATTACGGCCACTGCCTTAAATAGCTTCTGAATGCAAAGGCAAATCTTCTATTTTTGGATGATAGGTAGCTCTAAAAAAATGAAAAAAAACGAAAATCATGGCCACTGGTCCCATCACCTCCTGGCAAACAGAAGGGGAAGAAATGGAGGCAGTGAGAGATTTTACTTTCTTGGGCTCCATGATCACCGCAGATGGTGACAGTAGTCACGAAATTAAAAGACGCCTGCTTCTTGGGAGAAATGCTATGACAAACCTAGACAGCATCTTAAAAAGCAGAGACATCACCTTGCCAACAAAGGTCCGTATAGTTAAAGCTATGGTTTTCCCAGTAGTGATGTATGGAAGTGAGAGCTGGACCATAAAGAAGGCCGATCACCAAAGAATTGATGCTTTTGAATTATGGTGCTGGAGGAGACTCTTGAGAGTCCCATGGACTGCAAGAAGATCAAACCTATCCATTCTGAAGGAAATCAGCCCTAAATCAGCTCACTGGAAGGGCAGATCGTGAAGCTGAGGCTCCAATACTTTGGCCACCTCATGAGAAGAGAAGACTCCCTGGGAAAGACCCTGATGTTGGGAAAGATGGAGGGCGCAAGGAGAAGGGGACGACAGAGGACGAGATGGTTGGGCAGTGTTCTTGAAGCTACCAGCATGGGTTTGACCAAACTGCGGGAGGCAGTGGAAGACAGGAGTGCCTGGCGTGCTCTGGTGCATGGGGGTCACAAAGAATCGGACATGACTAAACGACTAAACAACAACATTGCTCTAAAGGGACACACCCTAGAGAGGCATCATGGAAGCGCAAGCCATTTCCCCCAATAATTATACCAGGGATTCTTGCTTGCTCTTGGGTTTTATCGCTGTCAACGCAACAGCCTCCCAAGGGGGACGTGATAAACCAAGATTAACCTCCAGGGAGATACTTTGGTGCTCCAGTTGTCTTCGGGAGTCCAGATTGCATCAGCTCCAGCTCATGCGGTCAGGGATGATGGGAGCTGTGGTAAAATGAAATGTGGAGGGCATCAAGTTGGCTACCATATTTGCTGCTGCCATGCAGCCTCTTTGGAACGGATGAGGCACAAGAAGAAAGGGAGGAGCGAGGCTCTAGGACAGGGGTGAGGGAACTGCCGCCCTATGGCCAGTTCCAGTCTGTGAAGCCTCCCCATCTGGCCCACTGAGCTTCCAGCCAAGACTCTCTGGAGTCCATCCCTTTGCCACCCATTGCTCCTGGAGAATCAAGAACTTGCGATGGTGCTGGAACCACTAGCTAGGTTTTGGGGCAACTTTCCAAAGCACATACTTAATTGTTTTTCTGCTTCTCCTAGCGTCTCTGAAATATACTCGGAGTCGAGTGTTGATTTCATGCTCTTTATTTCAGCTCGTGGCAAACAGTGAATGAGTGCTTTCCCCAAAAACCTCTGGCTATATATACATTATTTACACAATGGGGCCCATGTGATTGGCTGATTCAACTCCCCTCCTGAAGCCTGATTGGACTGTTCCCGCAGGCCAATCAGGTTGCTGATTCACTTCCTCCTGGAGCCTGATTGGGCTGCTCCTGCAGACCAATCAGGTTGTTGCCTTCTAGGATCCAACCTGCCTATTGTTCTAGGATCCAAGCTCAGTAGGTAACACTCTTAGAGGTCGTACGCCTTGGAACACAAGTCGCTGAAAATCACAAATGAGGACTGTTGCATTCAAGTCCTGCTTACAGACTTCCCATAGGCATCTGCTTGGCCACTGTGAAAAAAGGATGAAATTCTGGCCTAATCCAGGGTGTCCTAATTCTGAGCAAAGTGTTAGTTGGATACACTCTACATAAATCCACATATAAAGTGTCCTTTCATACTGCATCACGGTGTAGTGCGCTGGTTAGACATCAACTGATAGGAAGTGCCTACAGAGGGTGGTGAATATAGCACAAGATATTATGGGCTGTCCCGTGAATCCGCTGGATGAAATAGCGGAAGAACATTGGCTCAGGAGAGTGAGGAAAATTCTCAGGGATGATTCACACCCTCACCGGCACTTTCTTGATCTTCCACCTTCGGGCAGAAGATATAGAAGCATGATTAGTCGCACCAACAGGGTAAAGAACAGCTTCTATCCATGGGCTGTTAGGCTGCTGAATGAAAAGATAACAACAGGGCAACTGGCTTTCGGGTTTGGTGGGTGTGCGTCAGTAAACGAGGGGAATTAAGACTAAGAGAGCTGAGTGGGGGGTGCTCATGTAAACTCACTGTATACAAGTTGTACAAGTGACAATCAAGTATTTCAATTTATTTCTACCTTGCCAGGATACATTAGTCTCCTGGCCCCCAAAGGTTGCCTTGGAATTAGCAAGGAGTAGAATTTTAAACAGTGATCAGGAACGGTTTTTCAGCCTGACAGCAGGTTTCTGGGAATTTCATACCAGTGGTGGCCAAAGGTAAAACTGGGCATAGCAATTAGTGTAATTTTTTACCTTTGTACAGTAGGCTAATTCACACACAATCTGACACAACCCATTCCTTCCTCCCTACAGGCAAGCCAGAGGCAGAGGCAGAGGTCAATGATGCGTTCCAGTCAGGCAAAAATATTTGAGGATCACGGAGTGAGACAAGAGTGTCTGGGGAGAGGGTGTGACACCAAGATCTGAGGTTCTTCCCGATTTAAAGCCAGCAAACAGCAAGGCTATCACATGAAAACGCCACCCCGCATCCTCCAGAATTCATGGACACCGCTTGTCAATGCGTAGGCAGCGCATCGTGCGCATTCCTCTGGCGTGAACCCAACCAGCGCGGTCCCAACAGTTCTTACTCCACGGTCTCTGGCTGACTTCTTAATGGAAGCTTCTATCAGCCAAGGCGACACGTAGTGATACGTTCTCCCGAGAATGCTGTAGGAAACATATCCCGATTTGTCGCCCGCGGCCCACCTGGCGTCATGGTCGTCAAAGCTTTCCACGTTGCACGCTATTTCGATTTGCCCGTTGTGTGGGAAAGCCATCGACTGCACGCCCTTCAGGCCTCCAGCACTGCTGCCCCGGACGGAGCCTGCGATCTCCTTGGCCGTAGCCAAGTCTTGCGTGTCGACAGTCACGTTGCAATTCATCACGTAAGGGCTGGCCCCGACCCCTGAAATGATAAAAAAAATGAGCCACCGGTGTGAGTCGAAATGAATGGTTGTTAGGTTGGTTTGGCTTCTGCATCTACTCTTCAGATACAGTCGAGTAGTTTCTAAGCCTCGGAAAAGGACTTTGGCTAACCTTCACTTAGGCAATATTCAGTATTCTTTATCAAGAGATTGAGTAGTACAGTTGTACCTTGGTTCTCGAACAGAATGAGTTCCGGGAGTCCATTCAACTCCCGGAACCGCTCAAAAACCAAGTCACGGCTTCTGATTGGCTGCAGGAGCATCCTGTAGCCAATCGGAAGCCGCAGAAGCCACGCCGGATGTCTAGCTTCTGAAAATCATTTGAAAACCGGAACAGTCCTTCTGGTTTCCGGGAGCCGAAATGTACAAGTTCCAAGGCGTTTGGTAACCAACGTACGACTGTGGTTGGATCCAGCAAACCCAAGAAGAGTCCATAGCAGGCCTGGTGAGTTTTATGGCCTAGAGAAACTTCCCAGGACTGCAAATAAAGGTCTGGAGGAGTGAATATGCTGCCCCACACAGGCCCATAGTTCCCAAGCTTTTACATAAATGCTCTGGAAGGGCATTCCAGGAGAAGGGAAGTTGCAGAGCAAAGTCTGTTTCTCACACTGAGTACTGAGCTACCTCGGTGCAAACAGAAGTCAGCCAGTGGTGAATCTAGTAAATAAATCAAAGGTACTGCACTCAAGACCTATTCCCCAGTGAAAAGCAGTTTTATATCTGCCTCTTCGTAAGCAACGTGAAAGAAGGAAGGGGAGAAACTCCACCTGGGATAAATCATCATTGCAAATTGTTCATGATGAAAAAAAGAGTGTGAAAGTTTAATATTTCTCCGAGGTCTTGTCTTTTCCTTTCCTCCTTGGAGTTCTGACTCATTGTCTTTGTAGTTTATGAGCCAGAGCCTGGATAGAAACAAAGATCTTTACAGCAAACAAAAACAAAAAAAGAACACAAACCCTCAAGGCCAAATTGTTGAGGTAGAGGGAAAATAAAAACAAATGCACTAATTAACATCTGGTGTGTGTTCCTTTCTCACAAACGCAAAGGCAGTATGAGTGTGACAGCACTGGCAATAATAACTGGTTTAAGGATTCTTGCGGCAGAATGACGTCTGAAGAAACAGGATTTTTTTTAAAAAAAATTGGATTATTCAATCAAAGTACATAAGGAGCTTTGTTTTATGCAGAGCGTTTTTTAAGTAGGTTAATTCTAAGTGGGTCAATAGGAGAATAATTACTGTTATTCTCTTGATATCTACCTCCCCTCCCCATTCTATATTAAATATTTAACCAATTCTCTTCAATGGATTGTAGCAATGCCTCATCCGTCCTCCTTTCAAAACATTTGAAATAGTTTACTGGGCATAATCCAGGGTAAGAAACAAGCCCCATTGATATTGTAGGGCTTGAAAAGAAAAGAAAAGAAATCAATGGTACACAAATGCTTGATAGTACATGCTCAAGAATGGCTGCAACGGACTGCTGTTGACCACATGATGACCAATTGTAAACTCACATGGAAACTCAGAAGTCAGGTGATTTAACCCCCTATTATTGCTGACAATTAATGTTGTGCAAATTATTTAAATGGACAATTTGCCTACTGGCAACGCAGCGGAGCCCAAAAGGGAGTTCTTTAGCCACTCCAGGAATTCTGGGATTTTTGTAGTTGTTGCTCTTCCAGGTCTCACATCTTTACACAGGGACTTAAGATACACAACACTCAAAACGCATCTTATAAGACAGGGATGGGGAAACCGTGCCCCTCCAAATGCTGTTGGATTCCAGTTCCCATCAGTTCCCAGTGAAGACAGCCCATGGTTATTGATGATGGGAGTTGGATTCCAACAACATCTCTAGGGGTCACAGTTCCTCCACCCCTGTTTTAAGAGACAATCATTTATTGGTTTATTTTTCAAAAAATAGCCTGCGTGGGAAAGTCAAAACCTTTGTAGACTTCAAGAAGGTTCTGGAGTTACCTGAAGGGATTCAACACAAAATATTGCTTACACTGGAATAGATTAATTGATTTGCGACCATTAATGGTTGCCATTAATTTGATCTGAACTGATTTTATAATGAATTGATTTTAGAATGCTGTATTATTTTACTGTTGTTAGCCGCTCTGAGCCCGGCTTCGGCTGGGGAGGGCGGGATATAAATTTTAAAAAATTAATTATTATTTATTATTACAGCCTATATCAAATTAAGAGCAAAAAGCTGCCAGGTGCCTCAAGGTCTTCTGCTCTTAAATACCTCTATGCATTTCCTGTTGCTTCTTGGTGCTCTCTCTTCCTCAATACCCCCACAAGTCGTCCTCTCCCAAGCCCTTTTGAATGGTACTTTATTCCCCATCCCCATCTCAAAAGCCTAAGCCTTCAGTCCTACAAGTGCCATTGGCTTGGGAATAAGTTCTAATGAACTCTGTGAAGCCCCAAGTAAGCAAAGACTGGGCAGCAAGCCTATGCAACTTTAATCCCTTATTAGTCTTCCTATCTTCCCTCTCTCAATTTTTGGTACACTCACCATAGCTGTCAACTTACAGATTTGAAAATAAGGGACTAGCAGCCTCGAAAATAAGGGATCAGCAGCCAAAATAAGGGATTTTCCTAGCACAGGTATGTTCAACTTCTGAGCCCCTCCGAGACAAAGGCAGAAAGCCCAGCCAGCAGCCAAACGAAGCCTCAAGCGGTGGTTCCCACAGCGCAGCAACCCAGCAAAGGGGATGCAGCAAGGAAAACCACTGTCACCTCTGCTGGGAAGCACTGAGCAAAGGCGAGTCCCCAGGCAACACAGCTGATTTGATCGGCACAAGGCATGCAAGCTCCACCCCCCCACCCCCCAGTCTTAGACTCCTTATTGGGTGAGCAATGCAGCCAAGCAACCCAGTTGGAGCCTCCCTCCTCCCCAGCCAGCAGAGAGGGAGGGAGGGAGAGGAGCTGCTTCCTTTGAAACCAGGGAAATTTAAGGGACAGCATCAATAAGGGACAGCAGCAGGACACGGCGCTGGGATAAGGGACTTTCCCGCCAAATAAGGGACAGTTGACAGCTATGACACTCACCTGTCTCTTATCTGCATTCTCTCCCATTCTCAATATTTATATGTAAGCTCCTTGGGGCACAGACCACTGGGGAGTGGGCTATATTCCTCTGTGAAGTCCTAGAGACATTGATTGGCTTGTACACATGACAAAAACAGCAACACTGAACATTGCCATCATTTCATACCTGTTAAACCATGACTTAAGGTAGGCGACAGCCCTACATCAGGAATAACAGTGGCTGCGTTGAAAGCTCTACTGTTAAACCATCCCAGCTGTTTTCTTCTTTGAACCAGACTTTGCTTCTCTGGGAGATGAGCTTGGCCAAAAAGAAATATGCTGCATCCAGGAACACGGCAGACTAAGGTCTCTGCTATATCTGAGGGAAGAGAGGAACAGAAGGGAAGTACAACAGCTAGAATAGGGGTGGCAGCCTTTGGGGGCCAGTGAGTACTCTGGAATTTTGAAGGAGTGATGTGGGTGCATGTGTTGCTCTTTCGTAAACCTCCCTGTGATCCTTAGATGAAGGGCGGTATAGAAAACAAACAAACACCCAGAGGAAAAGCCTTTTCCATTATGGCACCCAGTATGTGAGGGACGCGGGTGGCGCTGTGGGTTAAACCACAGAGCCTAGGACTTGCCGATCAGAAGGTCGGCGGTTCGAATCCCTGTGACGGGGATAGCTCCTGTTGCTCAGTCCCTGCTCCTGCCAACCTAGCAGTTCGAAAGCACGTCAAAGTGCAAGTAGAAGCTAAACGGCGTTTCCATGCGCTGCTCTGGTTTGCTAGAAGCAGCTTAGTCATGCTGGCCACGTGACCCGGAAGCTGTACGCCGGCTCCCTTGGACAGTAAAGCGAGATGAGCGCCGCAACCCCAGAGTCGGTCACGACAGGACCTAATGGTCAGGGGTCCCTTTACCTTTTTACCCAGTATGTGGGCACCCTCATCTCCCTTCAAAAATAAGGCAAGTGCTGCCTTTGTTACATGATTTGATGCACGCTAAGAACATTTCTAATGTACCCAGGCATATGCTAGTTATTAATGTAGAGCTTTTAGTAGAATTGGCTGCTTTTACTGTGATGGCTGTATTTTAGCACATTGTTTTTAACATATATATACATATATTTGTACTGCTGTGAACCTCCCTGGTGTTTCTTGTGAAGGGTGGGATTTTAATGTGTTAAACAAACACACAAGCAGGCAACAGATCTGAGAAAGTGTGAATATGTGAGCAAGGTGGCAATTAGTTATCTAAAATGCTGTGCTGTCATTCCAGTTGTAAATTGTACAACCAGGCTTTGGAGTATACATTAAACAGCTGCACTAAATGGTTTAGAATGGGGTTAGCCAACGCCGTCCCCTCCACTTGTTATTAGACTTCAATTCCCATCACCACTGACGAAGGGTCATGCTGGCTGGAGTTGGCGGGAGTTTGAATCCCAAGAACATTTGCAGAGTGCCACCTCGCCCTACCCCTAATAATAATAATAATAATAATAATTTATACCCCGCCCATCTGGCTGAGTTTCCCCAGCCACTCTGGGCAGCTTCCAATCAAGTGTTAAAAACAATACAGCATTAAATATTAAAAACTTCCCTAAACAGAGCTGCCTTCAGATGTCTTTTAAAGAGAAGACAGTAGCTTATTATCTTGACATCTGAAGGGAGGGCGTTCCACAGGGCGGGCGCCACTACCAAGAAGGCCCTCTGTCTGGTTCCCTGTAACCTCACTTCTCGCAATGAGGGAACCGCCAGAAGGCCCTCAGAGCTGGACCTCAGTGGGGGCTGAACGATGGGGGTGGAGACGCTCCTTCAGGTATACTGGACCGAGGCCGTTTAGGGCTTTAAAGGTCAGCACCAACACTTTGACTTGTGCTCGGAAACGTACTGGGAGCCAATGCGGATCTCTCAGGACTGGTGTTATGTGGTCTTGGCGGCCACTCCCAGTCACCAGTGTAGCTGCCGCATTCTGGATTAATTGCAGTTTCTGGGTCACCTTCAAAGGTAGCCCCACATAGAGCGCATTGCAGTAGTCTAAGCGGGAGATAACTAGAGCATGCACCACTCTGGTGAGGCAGTCTGCAGGCAGGTAGGTCTCAGCCTGCGTACCAGATGGAGCTGGTAGACAGCTGCCCTGGACACAGAATTAACCTGCGCCTCCATGGATAGCTGTGAATCCAAAATGACTCCCAGGCTGTGCACCTGGTCCTTCAGGGGCACAGTTACCCCAGGTAATTTAGAGAGATGCCTCTGCTTTGACAGAGGAACAATCCAACATCCCAGTGACTACATTAAGGATCCTTGGGTCAGATCTTGTACGGCCAAGATGGGGCTAGACTACAACTCTCATCATCCCTGACCAAAGGCCATGCTGGCTGGGGATGATGGGAATTGGAGTCCAACCAACCATATACTGAGGTCGCGACATTGACTACCCCCGCCTGTGCAGGATGTTCAGGTTCTGCTTACTTTGAGCCACTGTTCCGCACTCTTCCACATCGACACCCGACAAAGGGTAAATGGGCACCAGGTCTACTGCGCCAAGGCAAGGGTGGATTCCAGAATGTTCCGCCATATCTATTGAAGCAAAAGCCTCCACACAGGCAGCAACGACAGACCTGCCTAACAAAACACAAACAGGGCGAAAGAAACATTATCAAACCCATTTTTAACTAAATCTGAAAAGGAAAACTAAATCTTAGCCACTCTTGCCCCAAATGTGTTTTAATTAAAAACATTCACACACAAAGAAAGAGCATAGACAAACTCCCCGCAGCCCCTTGCGACTGTTTCTAGTGACAGTGATAAGATAACCCCTCTTTCTCATTTACACAAAGCACTATTTTGGGAGAAATGTGAAGCTCTTATGACTATTACAAATCTACCCACCTTGAAGAAGGGTTCTTATTATATGCAACAAACACACTTTAAAAATATACTAACAAAATAGCCCACTTGGTATCTTGGAGGGTTTGCTATTGAATCACAATCTACAAGGGTGTATTTTTTTAGTGAAGTGCTGAACACAACCATGTTAATTATGGCCACCTGACATCCTCCTGCTAACTTTGTCTGACAAGACTGCTTTTGATTCACTTTGTAAACATCCCTACAGAACATCCTTAGCAGAAAAGATAAGAAAGAATATTTTATTCTGCTCCGCCTCCATCACAGAAGCCTGAATTCAAAAGTAAGCTTTGCTGCAGTCCAAACACAAATTACCTGGGAATAAGTTCCCATTGAATTCAATAGAATTTAATTCTGAGTAGACATGGTTAGGAATGTGATGTTAATTGGGGAACTGGCTCTTGTAAACCAGTGTTGAAGGAAAAAGCTACACAACACATCCCTCTCAAATCTAGCTGAATGTTATTTATTTTCAAAAACCCTTTCAAGAGGGCTTCCAGACAAGAGCTTCTTGTCACAAACAATCAGTCACAGCATAATTTTCTGTGTATGTGATTTTCGTGCAACCATCCACCAAGGGGATTAAAATGTCACCCTTTTTGGGAAATATGTGCCTTTGTGTTGGTACTTCTTGTTTATATAATTTTTCAGCCGAGGATTTTTTTGAAGTCCTCATTTATCAAGGAAGCTAAACACCAGAGCATGTTTTTTGAGAGAAGCAATGCGTTTAAAATGTACTGTTTTACTCTCAGGTAAACATGTATACAACTGCAAACTTTGCATTCAAAAACACAACATTCAAAAGCCAATAATAATAATAATAATGTGAGCTGGGATATTTTAATACATATTTTTAAAACTTACCCAGTCTGTCAACTGGAGCTGCAATAGTTATGACGGACCTGTTATAGTCATAGTCAGAAAATATATTAAGCACAGTTGCTGGGAGATGCTCCTGGCCTATGGGGAGGAAAAAAATGGAACATTTCTTGTGGTTCAGTCAACAAATAAAGGCTTCCAATTTAGCTTAAGCACATGCTATGTTTTGAAGAGGTACATTCTGATCCTAAATCCACTGATTGCAAAATAAGTTCTATCAAGCTAAATGGAGCATATATCGGTGCAAGCATGATAGATTAGAAAAATATTGAACAGTTTTGCTCAATGCAATCTGTGGCCTTAAAGATATTGCTCCCATCAGCTACAGTCAGTATGGCCAGTGGCCAGAGATGATGGGAATTGTAGTCTAGTGTTATGTACTGAGTTGAACAGGATCCAAAATGCAGCAGTCTGATTGGTCCTAGAACAATAGGATTCAGAATGCAGCAGTCTGATTGGTCCTAGAACAATGCAGCAGTATGATTGGTCTGCAGGAGCCACCCAATCCAGCTCCAAATGGAAATGAATCCACAACCTGATTGGCCTACAGGAGAATTCTGGAATTAGCCAATCACATGCAGCCCATTGTGTAAATAATGTATATAAAGCGGATACTTTGGGGAAACATTCATTCCTCCTCACCACTATGAGCTGAATAATGAGCATGAAATCCACTCTTGAGTATATTTCATCTAGCAACATGGGGGGGGGGGCAACAGGTTCCCCACCCCTGTCTGAAAGAGTACAGATAGGCAACACAATCCAGGGCTTGTCATTATGAAAACCATACTGGCTGAAATTCCCAATTCTTGGCAACTTCATTAACGGGTGAGGGCTGGTCCTCCTCTGCATCTGTTTGCCCTAAGTTTGTTCACACAATGAACTTCAGACTTAGCCTGAAAGAGATGCCAGGAGAAAAAACTCTTACAAGTACACAAACAAAAACGCCACCCCGAAGTTTTAGAATGTGTTAGTCAGTGATTAACAGATCAATGTGTTTCTTTTGTGCAACCACAGCTCATGCAAACTATATCCAAAAACTTCACAAAGGCTGCCATTTGGTAGGACTTCGGAAATGATTGGCTGACCAAACCATAGCTATCATAAAAACCAGAGGGCTGGAAGGGACTCAAGAGTGTCGTTTAGTCTCAGCTCCTGCCCCAAGGCAGGACTTTCTATACATACTTCACACACACACACCCAACATACGGCTTCAGAGCTTCACAAGCATCAACGTCAATGTTTGGTTGGGTGGGTGAGAACGGAAAGCTCAAGCTTGAAAGCTCAACTAATGTTTTCTCATCAAAGCTTCATTTGTGCCAGGGGGCTTAGATACACCATCCGCTTCCAGAACCACGGCTAACATCGGAATACGTACAGTCAAGTGCCTCTGAGAATGTGCAGAGTGCAATTTTCTTACCGAATCAACAACCCTGAAGTAGCAGGTAATGGGAAAGACTGAGACCCTAGGGAGCCACTGATAGCCAGAACAGATAATGCTGGACGAAATGGGCAGATAAGTCGGACATGGCATAAGGAAGGTTTTAAAAATTATTTTGATTGCTCTCCCCCAGTTAAACAACCCTTCAATGGAAAATAATAAATAAATAAATAAACAATAAACACCCTTGCATTGATCATAATCATAGAATTGTAGAGTTGAAAGGGACCCTGAGGCTCATCTAGCCCACCCCCCTGCAATGCAGAAATGTGTAGTTGTCCCATACAGGGATCGAACCTGCAACCTTGGCATTATCAGTACCATGCTCCAAGCAGCTAAGCTGTGCTTCTGGTACAATGGAGAAAGAGGCTTTGACATGACCAACTTATTGGGGGGGGCAACTCCCCCCCCCCAATTAGTGGCGCAATTAGTGCCAGCACCGTCTGTTAAGAGTTTGGGTGTAATCTTCGACACCTCCCTTTCCATGTAGGCGCAGATTGCAGCTATAACAAAGGCAGCATTTTTTCATCTCCGCCAAGCTAAGCAGTTGGCTCCTTACCTCTCTCGCCCTGACCTAGCCACTGTGATCCCTACGTGACGGTCACCCAGAAACTCCAACGGGTGCAGAATGCCACAGCGAGACTCCTTACAGGGTCCTCGCTGCGAGATCACATTCACCCAGTGCTATACCAGCTGCACTGGCTCCCGGTGGAGTACAGGATCAGGTTTAAGATGCTGGTTTTAACCTTTAAAGCCCTATACAGCCTAGGACCCTTGTACCTAAGGGACCGCCTCTCCTGGTATGTCCCATGGAGGACCTTATGGTCTTCAAACGAAAACATCTTGGAGGTCCCGGGCCACAGGGAGGTTAGGCTGCCCTCAACCAGAGCCAGGGCTTTTTCGGCTGTGGCCCCGATCTGGTGCAACGCTCTGTCACAAGAGACCAGGGCCCTGTGGGACTTGACATCTTTCCACAGGGCCTGCAAGACCAGGCCTTTGGCCAAGGCAGAGCCTGCCCCCTCCTTTAGTAATCCTCACAGAACTCTAACCCAATGGTTGCCATTAATTTGATTTGAACTGATTTTAGAATGCTGTATTATTTTACTGTTGTTAACTGCTCTGAGCCCGGCTTCAGCTGGGGAGGGCAGGATATAAATTATTATTATTATTATTATTATTATTATTATTATTATTATTATTCACTCCAGCTAACTGACATCTGCCCTTTTCTGTCAATACACAGTTTTGGATCTATCCTAATTACTTTTGGCATTCAGGTATGACTACATGGAGGGGCTCCCATGAAAGAACAGGTCACATCCAGTCAGCATCAGACTAAAGGGGATCCTGCTCACACAAGGCTCCCTCCACCATCAGGGTTTGCATCCCAGGGCAGGCTGTCCTATTGTCAGGGACTGGGCAGAGGAGGAATGGTGGAGACTGCCTCCCCAGCCTGACCCTTCCAGAGAAGAAGGAGACAGTTCAGAATTACAACAGGGGTTTGAGGGAGGTCACAGCTCAGAGGCAGGTGAGGGGGAAAGCTGGGAAATAACGGGAGAGGAAGAGGAGGAAGAAGAAGAGAAAGCATCAGAGGGGCAACAACTGACAGACACAGTGTCTTTAGAAAGCATTCCAGACACCACCCCTATCCCAGAATCCGGCAAGCCTTGAAAGTAAGAGAGCAAAGGGCTCAGAGCGCCCTCAGCACCACCTGTAGAGGAGGTGACAATGACGGATGAGGAAGTGGGAGAAAAGAAGTGTGGAGAGTCACTCGGGACAATGCCATTATCCCAAGAGGCTGTGTTCCAAGCCTCTGTCTGTAAATAAAGCCAGTGTGGTGTAGTGGTTAAGAGCAGTAGACTTGTAATCTGGTGAACCGGGTTCGCTTCCCTGCTCCTCCACATGCAGCTGCTGGGTGACCTTGGGCTAGTCACACTTCTCTGAAGTCTCTCAGCCCCACTCACCTCACAGAGTGTTTGTTGTGGGGGAGGAAGGGAAAGGAGATTGTTAGCCGCTTTGAGACTCCTTAGGGTAGTGATAAAGCGGGCTATCAAATCCAAATCCAAACTCTAAATACTGAATAAAAAGCAGATGGTAAGAACTTTTCCTTGTCTTGTACGTTCCTGGCAACCAGCCATGGGAGCTGCCTACTGCCACCTGACACCTATGTGCACTCTTTGCACTGGCATTGGTCCCCTTCAAACAAACACTGGTTGCGCATCAGACAGAGGCCTATGTGCATGAAGATGGATAGGGCTCCTTCCACAGGCAATACCGACGGTGGGCTAGCCAAGTGCATTCCACAGGGCTCCTCCACACCACTATAGGAAAGGCCTTATCCCTTGTCTCAACCAACTGGACAAACTTATTCCACACATGCTTAAGTTCCAAAGAGGAGTTCAGTGGAATTCTAAGCAAACGTTTCTAGAACTGGGTTGCAGATGTTTTAATTTTGGCTAGACCAGGTATATTTGGAGTAAGGTAAAGATAAAGGGAAGGGACGCAGGTGGCGCTGTGGGTTAAACCACAGAGCCTAGGACTTGCCAATCAGAAGGTCAGCGGTTCAAATCCCCACGACGGGGTGAGCTCCCATTGCTCAGTCCCTGCTCCTGCCCACCTAGCAGTTCGAAAGCACGTCAGAGTGCAAGTAGATAAATAGGTACCACTCCGGCGGCAAGGTAAACGGTGTTTCCGTGCGGTGCTCTGGTTCGTCAGAAGTGGCTTAGTCATGCTGGCCACATGACCCAGAAGCTGTACGTCGGCTCCCTCGGCCAAAAAAGCGAGATGAGCGCCGCAACCCCAGAGTCGGCCACGACTGGACCTAATGGTCAGGGGTCCCTTTACCTTTAACCTTTAAGTGCAGGATGATGACATTAATATGCAACCTGAGGGTTTAAAAGCATTTTCATGTTTGAGATATCCTAAAGAGAAAAAATAAAAAATATGCTTGAGATATTCTAAAACGAGAAATTATAAAGAAAGTGCATATTAGATCCTCGCTTTATTGGCCAAGGGAGCCGGCGTTTGTCCGCAGACAGCTTCCAGATCATGCGGCCAGCATGACTAAGCCGCTTCTGCCAACCAGAGCTGCGCACATAAACACCGTTTACCTTCCCGCTGGAGCGGTACCTATTTATCTACTTGCACTTTGACGTGCTTTTGAACTGCTAGGTTGGCAGGAGCAGGGACCGAGCAACGGGAGCTCACCCCATTGCGGGGATTCGAACCGCCGACCTTCTGATCGGCAAGTCCTAGGCTCTGTGGTTTAACCCACAGCACCACCCGTGTCCCATATTTGGAGTAGATCCACATTATTCTTACCATTATCCTCACAAACCGCAGCTCTTGCTACTTTCTCAACAATGTCCTTTCTTCTTCCTTCTGAAATGTTTAGCAAACAAGCAGCCAGACGCAAGCCAGTTCTGCCAGAAGTCATTTTCGCCCCTGTAATAAAAGGATACTCCTTAATTCCAACAGAACAGGCAAGGTACCGGTAGCATTCTCCAATGGTGATGTCAAAGTGTTCCTTCTCTCTCAACAGGAGGAAACCGCTTCCAGTCACTTCACGATATCCCTTAGCCCAGGACAAAATCCCTACAGGAAAGCATTTGTTTCCATGCTGACATTCACACAAATCTTGTTGATGCAAATCATAGCATATGACACCGCCACATAGGTCTCTGGCTGTTTTTGGACTATAACTCCCATCATCCCTACCTAGCAAGCCCAGCGGTCAGGGATGATGGGAAATGTAGTCCAGAAACAGCCAGAGACCAAAGGTTGGGAAAACACTGCTATGTGGCTTTAAATCCCTGTCTCTCTGTGCACTGGGAAGCTAAAATTGGATGCCCCTTCTGGAGAGTACATATACAGACATGCACATGTGTAAGTAACACTGTCATAAATTACGATCTGCACCATGCAATTCTGCCTAGCAAGCCCATATTGACCAAGTGCAGTTGTGTTGTGAAATTCTCCACATTGTTATAGATTAAATGCCAAATTTAGGTTGCAATCTAGATGCTTCCAGACGATTGTTTAAAAATGGAGTCGGTGCTCCTTGTGGATGCTTTTTGCAGCACCCACAACACCACTGACATCAAAATGACAGCCTGTATCCCCCCACACACACACACACACATTTAACACAGATTCGCTCTTTCTCGTGGAAATCAAATGATTGTTTTCTCTTTTTTGATACCAATTACCCTTTTATCTCAATGCCCTGTACTAAATCCCTATATAAGGGAATAGGCTCCACTGAGCAATGTGTGCCTTGCTTTTTGAGTAGACTCGTACAGGATTGCACTGACTGCGTTGTTTTCACTTTTAAAACATATTTTGCTAGAAATGATTTCAGTTTAAGGAAGAAAACAATGAGACTTTTGTGTCACTACTTCTATCTTATTTGATCGCGGCATGTATGATCGGGTAAAATTATACAGCAAACCCAAGCTGGGGGGGAAAGGGCTGCCGCACGAATCGCCAAAATTAAGACAGAGCCGTATCTAGACTAACTGGTGGTCTACTTACAATGTTGGAAACAAGTCTGATCGGCTAGCAGAGCAGCTTCAGGGTATTTTGCTATTAACCAATACTAGTATTGCAGCATCCGACCAGACATCAACTGCGCCAAAATCTGTAAAGCGCGGAGGCAAAACAAACCTAAGACTTCCAACAAAAGGAACTTTTTCTTTCTTTCTGTGACTGTCCCTCGCAGACTGCAAACGCCACGTGAGTTTTGGAAGGTTAGTGCTTTGCAGGGAGCCTCTTCCGGGAAACTGGTGTGTGACTATTTTCACACTGCTGTTGGTGCGAGATTTGTTGCGTGCGCTCCACCTCCCGTCGCTCCTCCCGGGAAATGCATCGCTCCGTGGATTCATTTCGCGCGGAGATTTGAATCGCTCTGCAGATTCCTCTGCAAGAAAAGGCTGGTTACCGGAAAGAGCTCGGAGATGCCAGCTTTGTTCCTCTTCCTTTGCAAAGTCTGCTTTCGCGCAATCTTGTGTTCGTTTCTTTTTATATTGGATGGGCACTGACCAGGAGCAGCTGCCGCCCCCCCAAAATAAAGTAAACAAATAAAAAATAAAAGTAGAAAGGTTTTGACAGATTGTTCCGAGCCCTTGGGGTCAAAAGGAAATAATTTAAAACATTTAATCCCGAATCTGCTAGACAGAGCCAGACAGAGGATGGTGGGTGTCTTGCACACACACACCCAACATAAATCCTGGCTATGCCCATGCATAAAAAGCAGAGACATCACCTTGCCAACAAAGGCCCGTATAGTTAAAGCTATGGTTTTCCCAGTAGTGATGTATGGAAGTGAGAGCTGGACCATCAAGAAGGCTGATCACCGAAGAATTGATGCTTTTGAATAATGGTGCTGGAGGAGACTCTTGAGAGTCCCATGGACTGCAAGAAGATCAAACCTATCCATTCTTAAGAAAATCAGCCCTGAGTGCTCACTGGAAGGACAGATCGTGAAGCTGAGGCTCCAATACTTTGGCCACCTCATGAGAAGAGAAGACTCCCTGGAAAAAAAAACCCTGATGTTGGGAAAGATGGAGGGCACAAGGAGAAGGGGACGACAGAGGATGAGATGGTTGGACAGTGTTCTCGAAGCTACCAGCATGAGTTTGACCAAATTGCGGGAGGCAGTGGAAGACAGGAGTGCCTGGCGTGCTCTGGTCCATGGGGTCACGAAGAGTCGGACACGACTAAACAACAACAAAAATGCCCATTCAAGGGAACGTCGTCAATCGCAAAGCAATGGCAACATTTGCTTGCTAAGGTGAGGTCCAGATTACTTCACTTTCGAGCAAGCAACAGCAGCAGCAAGTTCTCTCTTACAACACTCCATATTTTATGACATTTACATCTTGACTTTGCTACAAGGAGCTCACCGTGGCATAAATGCAGTGCCGGATTTACATATAAGCTAAACAAGCTATAGCTTAGGGCCCCACTCTCTTGGGGCCTCCAAAAAATTTAAAGGGAAAAAAAACCTGGATGTACATTTCCAAAACACATGATAAAAAACAAATAAAATAAAATCTACATACAGTTAGAGCTTAATAATTATTTCACTATTAATATACTTCTTAATTGTATTTCACTGTTAATATACGTCTTCTTAACTGTATTTCAATTCAACAATTACTTTGATAAAATGCATATTTTATTACGTGCAAATGGCTTTAGATACCTACTGTATTAGGTCCATAAATTACCATATAGCATATATTCAACACAAAAAACAGCGACAATTTGTTGTTGACAAAGGACGGCTGGACATATAAAGGGCTCCATTGCGTTCAGTAGCCGTAGCTGTCAAGCGTCCCTTATTTGGAGGGACAGTCCCTTATCCCAGCGCCGTGTCCCGCTGCTGTCGCTTATTGATGATGTCCCTTAAATTTCCTGGGTTTCAAAGGAAGCAGCTCCTCTCCCTCCCTCCAGGGAGGAGGGAGACTCCAACTGTGTTGCTTGGCTGCCCAGCCCGCCCCCCTCCGGCCTCCTCTCACCAGCCTCAGCCCCCGGGAACCCCTCCCCACCGGGACTGGTGGGAGCCTCGGGCCTTCCGCCACCATCTTCCTCGCGGCCACCGAACTGAGCGTCTCTGCCTGGGGCCTCCCCTCTGCCCGTCACCGCCGCTCCCGCTCCTGCTAGGCCGTACCGGGGCTGTGCCGCCGAAGGACCCGAATGAGATGGGCAGCCTGGCGTGGTCTATGAATTGATGAGGAGCCTTGAGAGGAGAGCGAGGGCAACCATAGAGAAAGCAGTTCAGAGAGAGAAGGGAGAGGAGGAGGTGGAGGCGCGGGCAGGTGTTCCAAGGGCTACAAGGGAAGGACCGCAAGCGCTTCTCCCATAGATTTGTAGTGGTAGACTAGCACAGATGGTCTGATCTGCGGGTTTACTTCGGGAGCTATTTCCCCCCCCCCCCCCCCGCCCCACCTTGGTGGAATTGAGAGCTGCAGACGGAGCACAAGAGAAAAGATACAGAACTGCAGCAGCATCTTCGTAGCTTGGACTTCGTTTTGCACAAAAAGTGGTTGCTGCTTGTAGTTATTTAATTGCTGTGTTTCATCGGCTGGTGTCTTGAGCAGCAACCTCTGGAAACGAAGGGCTAAAAACCGGCACTGCTCTCCAAAATTATCTGGTCCCTTTTAACTGGTTGACTAAAATCCCTTATTTTGGCTGCTGGTCCCTTATTTTCAAATCTGTAAGGTGACAGCTAGGAGTAGCTTAGGGCCTCATCAAACCTAAATCCGGCCCTGCATAAATGACATGGTTCTGCTCCCCCTTTTGCTCTCACAACAACCCTGTGAGTGCTTAACCCAAGGTCACCCAGTAGATGCTTTGATCTCAGCTCCAACTACATCTCTTGCAGCAAATTCTTCCTATATTTTTAGATTGTTAGCCTGTGGGCAAGGACTTTATTGTTTGTACCGATCTATAAGGTGGTCTGGGGGCCTCTCAGGGCTGAAAAGTAGAGCGACAATAACAATAATTAATTGAAACAAAATTTTGTGAGATAATTTAAGGACAACTAGAAAATGTGAGAGTCACACAGAGGCAGCTGTTGGGGAGGACCCTCCAAGTAAAAAACTCAAATGTTAAAACTTTACAGAGAGTGAAAAAATCAAATTACCACTGCTCTGAACCTGGGAACGGGCTGCCAGATGACGTTTGGAGAGAGTGCTTTTGACAGAACGGATTTGACAGCTAGCTAAATAAGAGTAAGATACTGTTTCCATTGTCCTTTACTGCGTTTAAAAAAGAGGAAAAGTAACTGAAAATTTATCTTTAATGCTTGAATTGCGCTTGAAAGAACTGATGCAAGTGGAGACTGTTTCCCTCTAGAGGGAGCTTTTGAAACTGTTACAGGAGTATAACTGGGGGATTTCCAGTTGCTGATAAGGATTCTGAGAACCAGAGAGCGACCTTGGACTATTTAAAAATGTTGACAGGAGAGGCCATTGTGACTGTTTTATGCAAGATAAGCTGTTTGCTGGGACAGCTTCACAAGAAGATGGATGACATGACTTTCAAAGTTGATAATTTGGAACAGAAAGTGACCAACTTGAGTCAAAAAGCGAACACCAACACAGAAATAATTCAGGACTTGGTACAGGAACCCATTTTGGCAGGACAAATGGTGGAGGAGAAGGAGGAGAAGGAGAATGCTGCTGTTGTTGAACATAAAATAACACAAGTGAGATTTGTGGTTTTACAGAAGCAAATTGAGGACTATAAGTTGAGGCCTTCTATGATTGAATCTAGGAAAAGTCAGACTCCGAGGAATGGATCCCGGCTTGGATTAAAGAAGGAAAGTTGGAAAGAGCCCTCTATGCTGGGATTAACTGACTTTTGGGACATGGACTCGGGCCTGGAGGAGATTGAAGTTTTGGGGGCCTTTGGAATTGGAGGAATTTTGAAATATACTCGGAAATACTTTATGGACTGTAGCTTTAACTATGGAAATTTAGCTGATCTGTTCAGAAGGAAGAAAAGGATTGACAGGCTGGAGTTTCCCCGAGATTTGCTCTTTAGCATTAAAGAAAATGAAGAAGACCTGCAGAAGGGACTTGGAAAAGAGTTAAGAGCCTCGGACATAAGATCACCAGGTTGATGGACTTTATGGAATTGACGGAAAGGACTGGCAGAATCCGAAACCTGGGAGAGGAGATGGTGGAAGAAGATTGGAAAATTTAAAGTTTATATATAGGCTTATGGTAAAACTAATGAGTGATAGAAAAATGGTGGAATGATTTTTTTTTTAATGGGCTTAACAGAAATGTTATAAGGAGTTAAGCACATATAAGTATATTAGTCTTAATGGAAAATAAGGTTAAAAAATACGTTTTTTACAATATCACAGAAAATGGAGAAAGATGGAAAGGATTTGCTGAAACAATTAATAGAAGTGGAACACAAAAAGGGAGGTGTGAGGAGGTCGAGGAAACAAGGGAATGAAAGATAGAGTATGGAAAAGAGACGATGTATGTTTTTAAATTGTTTTTGTTTTGTTCTATTCAGGGTTAAGGTTAGGGAGTGGGGTTTGTTTAGTTTAGTCTAATGTGTTTAGTTCTGAGTTTAGGTTGTGTTTTGTATTGTTTATATATTGTATTGTATTGTTTTTCTCTTTTTGTTTTTCTCCTTTGTTTTTTCTTCCGTTTTTTTCTTGTTTGCTTTTTTCTCTCTCTTTGTAATCTATAAAAGTAATAAATATTATTTAAAAAAAATAATTTACAGTTGTGCTGCCTAATCAGTTTCTTAACAAATGTCAAAAGAAAGAGTTTGCTGGTATATATACTATCACTGAAAACGTTACGGTTAAATTTAATAATCAGATGGTAAAATATAGGATATAGTAAATTTATTATTCAAGCTAGAATGTGCAGCACCATCTTGTGGTGATCAGAGTTCATTTTATATTTAGAAGTCAATAGAATATTTGCTAGATAACAAAAGTATATTTCACATTAAAAAGTAACAGTGTGATCCTACCCACCTCATGCCACCTAGATGAGGAAAGGATCGCTATTAAATCACCTTTCACCAGCAATACAAAACATTATGCTTACACTGACAGAACACAGCCATCCCAAAGGACACAAATGCGTGGAGGTGCAACAGAAAAGCAGCAGAACAAATAAGATGTGCAACAATATGTTTTATTTTCCAATGAATACTTCGTGTTCTGAGCATGCTTACTGGGCTGTTTTTCTCCAGTTAGTGTTTGTTTTTGTAAAGTTTTTTGTACTCCTGAAAACTTTGAGGTTGAAACAGTATCTTCCACAAAAAAGGATAATGGGTTTAAGTGCCACATATTTCTAACTGCAAGTGTGCTTGCACCACATTTTAGAAATGTAATGAGAAGTAAAATCTCTTTTGTTGGGGACTCTCTTCACTGGTTGCATTAGCATATATAAAGAACATTTCAAAATAAAATATTACTGAAGGATGTCAGATGTAAAATGCACATTTAAAACAGCACAATTAACAAGAGAATCAAATATTATCATAAGCTAATAATAATAATAATTTATTGATATCCCGCCCATCTGGCTGGATTTCCCCAGGCACTCTGGGCAGCTCCCAACAGAATATTAAAAATATTCTCCCCTGCCAGGTAAGTACTGTTGAAATGGCGACGAGATCACACTGGCCTATTTATTCTGAATGTTTGAATGTGATGCCAATAAAGGTTTGATGATGATGATATTAAAAATGCGATCATATCAGCTGTTGTTGCTGCCAATCCTGCCAATGGTGGTTCATGGCAAACAAGCGGCTGTGGAAGCTCAGGCTCAATGACCTGGGTTGGTGCTAAGAGACAGCCAAGATGGTCTGTGGCCTCTTCAGCAGCCTCAGTTTTTGTAGCTGAAGTCAGTCATGGCACTGCCATCCCAGGCCAGGTGGAAAAGGCTTGCAAGGCAGAGAGCAGGTGTTCCAGGCCTAACAGCCAAGGTGGTCCGAGTTCAAGGACACATTTCGGCTGGGCAAGTATTCTAGGAGGGTACAAAGCAGGACTGATGAGAGATGTGGCCTTGGAGAAATGTCCCAAGGGCCAGACAGAGGTATGAGAAATGATGGTGCCAAGTTATTTTTCACCCTAAAGGTAAAGGTAAAGGGCCATTAAGTCCAGTCGTGGCCGACTCTGGGGTTGCAGCGCTCATTTCACTTTATTGGCCGAGGGAGCCGGTGTTCAGCTTCCGGGTCACGTGACCAGCATGACTAAGCCGCTTCTGGCGAACCAGAGCAGCGCACGGAAACGTCATTTACCTTCCCGCCGGAGCGGTACCTATGTTATCTACTTGCACTTGGACGTGCTTTCGAACTGCTAGGTTGGCAGGAGCAGGGACCAGGCAACGGGAGCTCACCCCGTTGCGGGGATTCGAACCGCCGACCTTCTGATCGGCAAGTCCTAGGCTCTGTGCTTTAACCCACAGCGCCACCCGCGTCCCTCCATTTTGCACCCTAGGCAAAGCTAATGACTTGCACCTCTACTTCCACCAACTTGCTAACTTCGGTTTTCAAAAACAGATGTGGGGGGGAATGAAAAGCGCAAAACGTGAAACTGCTCAATATATTTTAAATTGAAAGAATAAGTTATACATTTTGCGTCCATCCAATTGACATGTGACCGACATGCGTACTACTTTTGGCTCTGGAAGGTGATGGAACAGACTTAAGTGTGACCGCAATGACCATTGCACAATGACACCCGCACAAACAGGGCGTTGTTGCCTGGGCAACAACCTTTGGTTCTCTTTCTCAACTGCAAAAGAAAATGTTTTAGCACACGCATCATTTTGAATAATATTGTGAATTTGTATAAAACTGTGCCCCACTGAGGTCTGTGCCCTGGGACATGGCCCCATCTCAAGGTGACCCCAGCCTTAGACAGTGAAGGAGCAGCTTAAAAAGGAGCCCGTTTTTAAAAAATCAAAAAATCTTGGCCAAAAATTGGAAATTACAAGAAATACCAACAGTGGAGGAATGGCAGATGAAGATGATAGACTTTTGGGAGCTAGCCGACCTGACCGGAAGAGTCCGCAACCAGAAGAAGGAGGAGTACCAAGAGGAATGGAAGAAATTTAAAGACTATTTAGCTAAATATGTTAAGATAACTTAACTAGAATTACTTGCTTGCCCAAAAAAGATGTTAAATTATTTTTGTATGCCACAACTGCTGCTCTTATTTTGTTAGCTAAAAAGTGGAAAACCCAAGAATTACCAACGATAGAAGAATGGCAGATGAAGATGATGGACTTTTCGGAGCTAGCCGACCTAACCGGAAGAGTCCATGATCAGAAGGAGGAGGAGTATCAGGAAGAGTGGATTAAATTTAATGATTATTTAGTTAAATATGTTAAATTAAACTAACTGAAAAAAGCTTGCAGATACTTAATTGGCTTAGGATTTTATTTATGTTAAGTGATGAATTAATATGTTTAATTTCATAAAGTGAAGATTTAAGGATGTTAATGTTTAAGTTAAATTTTATAAGAATTGTGACTTGGGAAACCGTTAAAAGGATATGCAATGAAATTCAACCAAGGGGAAGCGGGGAAGTCACTTAACAAAGTTAATAAGTGTAATTTTCAATAAGGCTATAATTTATGTTTGTTTGTCATATGTGTTTGTTTGTTTGTTTATAATATTGTTAAAACCAATTAAAAAAAATTGGAAAAAAATAAATAGAATTACTTGCGAGTATCAGATTGGCCTAGGACTTAAAAAAAAGAAAAGAAAAGAAAGATGTTAATTGACCAAGTAAATTTTATGTGAAAATAGTTTTGGAAAACTGCTACAATGATTTATATGGGAACTCAGCCAGGGGGACTGGAGGAAGTCACCCAACAATGTTAACAAAAGTGGAATTATTACAGTTAGGATAAATGTTTGTTTGTTGATGTTTTCTTTTTATTTGTTTGTTATAAATTTGGAAAACTAATAAAAAAAAATTGGGGGGGAAATAAATAAATAAATCGTCGTACTTATTTGCATAAAGTCCTCTCTCTGTGTTTGGAAAGAAAAAAACCGTTGCAGAACTAACTGCGCGCGCAGCCGCTCCCCTCTTTGAGCTTCCCTCCCTGCCACCCACACCCAATCAGCGGAGAGGAACCGAAGCTTCCCATCACACGATAGGGCGACTCTTTCCCCGCCCCTCCCCTCCCAGGAAAGCTCCTTTCGCTCCCTCTCGGGCGCCTGCGCGGTCGGCGTGGCTCCGCCCCGGAGGCGTGGGCGGTTGGTTGGCTGGCCTGTTTGTTTTCGTCTGCGGGAGCCGTTGGGAGGTCTGTCAGTGCGCGAGCGCGCGTTGCGGGAGGAAGGCGGAGCTCGCGCCGCGGAGCCTCCATGAGCAGGCGCTGCCCACCTGCCTCCTCCGTCCTGAGGGGACTCGTCGGCTCCGCATTCCTCTGCCTCGCGCGGACTATGAGCCTGCGAGGAGCTCCGGCCAGCTGCTTGTCGGGGCCCTCAGGCGGCGGGAGCGCCGGAGGAAGCGGCGGCGGCGGCCGTAGTAGTAGTATCGGCGGCGGCGGAGCCTCCTCCTCCTCGTCGCCTCGGCTGAACCTGCCGTGGCTGCGGCTCCCTGAGGTGCCGGGCGCCGAGCCCTTCCGAGCCAACGACGTGCTTCTGCTGCTGCCGCCGCCGCCCTCCGCCGCCGGCCCTTTGCCGGAGCCGCCTCAGCATCATGTCGTCTATTTTCCCGGGGACGTGCAGGTAAGGCTGAGGGGAGGAAGGTACCCGGCGGCGGTGTAGGAAGAAGGGAGCCCAGCTGCCTTTCAGAGAGCCTGGGAGAAACGGAGCTTGCCTCTTGAGTAGACGTGGCTACTTAGGGTTTGGAAGGGGTCCCGAGGGTCATCTAGTCCAACCCCGCCCCACCGCAATGCAGGAATCCTTTTGCCCAAGGTAGGACTCGAACCCGCGACCCTCGAGTTAAGAGCTTCAGGCTGTACCGAAAGAGCGAGTGGCGTGTTATTTCCTGAGGGATTCCGAAGCTGCGGACTGATGGAGACGAACCTCTCCTGCCACCTCTTCCGGTTGGATACCCAAGCAGAGGTGATTTTCTGGAAGAAGCCATAGCCTCTGTTTAGGCCCTAAATTTTTTCAGAATTTAATATTTCTTGCTCATGATGCTGGTTTTTCCAGCTTCTGATGGAGCGCCTGTGAAGGTTAAATCCTTTCGACCAGGGACTCTCTGGCGTTTTTGCTCCCCATGTTAAGATGTGCATCTCTCCTGCATAGTTCCGTTTGCGAGTGCAGACTGCTTGTAGACGTATTATGCAAGAGATCGCACACAGAATATTAATAGAAATGCACAGGTGTAAGCACCAAGGAGATGGTTGGTGGTGCCCAGTGTAGAGGGAAAACTGGCACTTGGAACTTTCTTCCCTTGGTGCCCTTCACCATGGGCATAGCGGGGGGGGGGCAGCAGGCCCCCCTGAATCAAGTAAATAAATAAAAATACTTAACTAAAAGTAGGAAGATTTTGACACGTTTTAAAAGCACTGGATACCAGTAGTGACAATGTAGAAGTTTGCAAGGATTCTTCATCATCATTGGATGAAAATTGAGAGTGACTATTGCCTTGGTTGCTGGGGCAGGGGGTGGGTGACAGGTTGGGAGGAGCTAGAGAAAATGCCATGATTACTTGAGAAACTGTACATGTTTGCTTGCAGGGAAGGTGTTCCAATGTTCAGTCACTTTAATATGTCTTTTGAGATGAGGCAGTCAGAGCTACAAAGTATTCTAAAGGTGTTCACAACTTTAAATTATACAATGGCATAATGATACTTGATTTGTTTTCAGTCTCTTTCCTAATTATTCCAAACATTTTAATTCTCTTTGTTGAGATTCACATACTCCACTTTATGCTGTTTTCTAATTTCATTTTCAAGTGCATGCCATATTAAAATTTTGTTAGTTGCCAAGAATAACCTTTCCCAGCAACCTACTTGTACAATTATAATTTAAGTGATTAATTGTGCATGTTGTGTTCCAAATAGTAAGGCTCTTTATATGTTGTTTTATTTCAGAACTATCATGAAATTATGGTTTGCCATCCAGAAAATTTCCAGTGGGAACAATGGTGCTTAGAAAACGTTGCTTCTATTCTGGGTCGCCGTTTCCCTCAGAGTTACATTTGGGTTATAAAATGTTCCCGTATGCATTTGCACAAATTCAGCTGCTATGACAATTTTGTGGCAAGCAATATGTTTGGTGCACCTGAACACAGCACTGATTTTGGAGCCTTCAAACATCTTCATGCATTACTAGTTAATGCGTTTAAACTTGCTCAAAATGTTCTTCTGTCTCAGAAAAGCCTGTATAATTTCAGCAAGGATGCAAAGGCCATTGCTTGTCAATCACCTACTGTTGCTACTACTAATGGATGCTCCGCAACGGAAAGGGGAAGAGATTGTGAATATTTCAACAGCTCTGCCATGAACCTCATTGAGCCTTCTGTGATTGGTGAAGCGTCATTCACTTTAATAGGGTTCAGTAAAGGTTGTGTTGTCTTGAATCAATTACTTCATGAACTAAAGGAAGCTAAAAAGGAAAAGGACACAAATGCCTTCATAAAAAACATAAGAGCAATTTACTGGCTCGATGGTGGCCATTCTGGAGGAAGCAATACTTGGGTGACCTACCCTGATGTGCTGAAAGATTTTTCAGAGACTGGGATTTCAGTTAATGCACATGTTACACCATACCAGGTATTTGATACAATGAGGGCATGGATTGGAAAAGAGCATAAGAGATTTGTGCAAATTCTGGAGGAGCTTGGTGTAAATGTAAATAGCCAGCTTCATTTTGCTGATGAAGCACCTTCCTTAGATAACCACTTCAGAGTTCATGAAGTATTCTGACACAGTGAATATATCAAAATACTCTTGTTAACTGCAAAAATACATTTTAAACTTTGACTTGACAGTTTGAGAATGTGGTTTCTCCTAAGTCCTGGAAAGGCTTAATGCTGTGTGCCCTAATACTTACTTTTTAAGACCTTCGGTGAAGCCAATCTTGTCTTGCTTTTGCAATTGAGGAGCAACAACAAATTCCTGGCTTAAAGAAATTATTTTGTTCTGGTTGAAACGATAAGATTCCTGAGGAAAAGCCACACCAGTTCATCTGACTAATTTTCTGAACATCAGTTGGAACTAATGTTTGCTTTACAAGTGTGGATTTTTGTGAGCAGAATATTCAGATCCGGGCTCAATAATTTGCATCCTAAAATGTTTTGGATGGCATACATTTATGAGTGTTGAGTATTTTTGAATGATTTGTCGCTTTTATTATTAAAACTAAAGAATAAAAGCAACTAATCATTCAGAAATACTCAACACTCAATTCTAGAACTAAAGAACTATGAGATAACATGGATTATGTTGCCAACATTGGTATCTAGCTCCTTGGCATAGCCATAGCACAAGCAATGCAGTAAGCTGGTAATGTTGACACGAACTGTGTCTATGGCTATGCCAAGAGGCTAAATATTCATAACAACTAAGTATAAATGACACTTTGCATGGGAAATAAGGTGCATAATGACTATACTGTTGCCTTAGAGGTGCTGTGCAACTTCTAACCATTGCTGAACATCTACTAGTGAATAACCTTTTTAAGACTTAAGAGTATTAAACATCTATTTTTGTTAAGTGACCAAGAATGTATTATCTTGCTGCTGTTTCAACATTCCCTATTAATACGAAAGCTTGATTTAACTTAATGCATTTTTGAACTTTTATACTGTGAGACTGTTAGGCAATTGTGGCAAATGCGTTTTGCTAAAAATCAAACCACAGATTCTTACAGATTGATAATCTTACAGGTTATGGTACATCTTAGAATAATATTAGTTGCACCAGTCTTTGGAAAATTTCAGATTATACTAGGAATTTTTCCAAAACCTGTATCCTTATCAACCTGTAAGAACCTGTATGATTGCCATTTGATAACCATCCACATGGTTAAGAATTTACAGAGAGCTATCGTTAAAGTGACTGCAGCATCCATAGTCTATCTCTTACGAGTTCCTGTTACCAAATGGCAATCATACAGATGAGGGTTTTTTCTGTAGCCAGGATACCAATTTGCATTACTGAATGTTAGGTGCAGTTTTGCAGTCAGCACATTCCAATCATATGTTTCTGCAGCACTTTTGATTTACTTATGAGAAGTAAGCAAAGTTTTTGCACTTCCATTTGTGGAGCTCACTTTACAAAATAATTGAAAGCCATTCCTGTTGGGGTGGCTTAACCATCTGTATAGTGACCAAAATATGTAGATTTTAGCAGTGACAGTTCTAGTATCAATTTGAAAGCTGATGTTGACCAGAATAGTGGAATAAGACTAACTTCCATAGTATGAACATGTTAAGTTGGTTTTCTGTGCCAATAAATATTTTTTTTTCAATGTGGCATACAGGAAACTACTGTTGGCCTTTGAAAGCTGCTTTTATGAATAAGCAATTCATTTTCCCTACATTAAGTGTTGATATATTTTGAAATGGTTCTCTTACCAGTTTAGCAACTGGCAACCACTTTTTCACTCTTCAAATTATTTTCAGTTTCAATTAAGAATGTTCATATCGAGTCACCATTCTTAATTAAAACTGAAAATAATTTGAAGAGTGAAAAAGTGGTTGCTAGTTGTTCCAGTCAGTACTTAAGCTGTTCTGATTGTTGGACATCTATTTTACAGTGTTTTTAAAAAGGCCGCCATGTCGGAATGAGACCGACAGCTTTCTATAACCAAGATGAAAGATTTCTAGTGTTTAAGGAAGAATATATTAAATCATGTTCTGACCTTGAAACATCATCCCCTTGGGCAAAAAGCAAATGAGTAGAATCCTGTGCTGCTGCTCCACTTAATGGGATGTCTTTTAATCCAGTGGAGGTGTCGACTAATATGAAAGGAGGTGGTATTCTCCTTTTTCCCCCCTTACATCCCACTGCGTCCCTCAGTCAGTTCCAGAGAGTTGGGGGATCCTCCAGAACATCATAGAACACAATGTGGGGGATTACAGAGGAAAGAGGGAGAAAATTGCCTCTCCATGTCTTACGCTAGCAGATGCCTCTCCTGTGTCAGAAGCTGTTACATAATCATAGTGGAAGCATTGGATTTCATTCAGTGACTATAATGCTTGCCTGTTTTACAGTCATTAAGAGTATTGTTACCCATTCATGTGATAGAATGCTGTTTTCTCTAAATTGCTGCTGTTGACAAAAGGAGCTCACTGAATAATTTCTCCAGTGTTCCAAGAGGTTCCCCCCACCTCCTGCACAGAGCGTTGTTTCTCTAATAGTAGTGCTTTCATTAGTGTTCCATGCTTCATCAGATAAATCCACAGCTCTTGACTAGTTGCTCTCTTTTAAGTACTCCCATTTGACGGCAGTAGGTTGAGCAAATAGCAGCAAAAAAAGATTGCACTAGTTTAAAGCTGCTTGCTTTAAACTAGCCAGTCCCCTTCAAACACTCTGTAGGTTTTGGTCTAGAAATGTGAATGTTACCTTCTCATATACTAAGTATGTCTATACAGGAGACTTAGTCATCTACCAAGGCAAGGTGGACTAATTAAGTTTGGCTTTAAGAAACAACCAGGCAAATTTAAAGTACCGTATTTTTTGCTCTATAGGACGCATAGGAGGGGGAGAACAGGGGGATTATTTTTTTCTTGTTCTGCCCCTCTAAAACAACGTGCGTTCAAGAGCAGGTCGAGGAACAGCGCAAAGGCTGCGCGCAGCCTTGCTGCTGCCCCCCGAGCTTGTGGGGCTGGCGGTGGGGGGAAGCGCTGCTTCCCTGAAGCCTTTGGGTCCCTGAAGCCTTTGGAGCGCAGGTGCACTCCAAAGGCTTGAGGCTTCAGGGACAGCCTTTCAAGCCTCCTCTGCGGAGGCTTTGCGCAGCCATCCCCAAGCTAGAACAGCTTCGGGCTGCAGGCTGCTATCCGCAAGCCTTGGGAGCCTGGCGGGAACTCCCACCGCACTCCGAAGGCTTGCAGATAGCTTCCTGAAGCCTGGAGAGCGAGAGGGGTCGGTGCGCACCGACCCCTCTCACCAGGCTTCAGCGAAAGCCTGCATTCGCTCCATAGGACGCACACACATTTCCCCTTAATTTTTGGAGGGGAAAAAGTGCGTCCTATAGAGCGAAAAATACGGTACTTTGCCATTGAAATGTGGAATATACCGTATTTTTCGTTCTATAGGGCGCACTTTTTCCCCTCCAAAAATTAAGGGGAGATGTGCGTGCGTCCTATAGAGCGAATGCAGGCTGTGCAGCTAAGCCCAAAGCCAGAACAGGGAGACGGAGCGCTGCGGAGCGCTCCGTCTCGCTCTTCTAGCTTGGGGTCAGCTGGGCAAAGCCTCTGCAGTGCAGCGGGGTGAAGGCACCCTGCTGCCCTGCGGAGGCTAGAAAGGCTGTCCCTGAAGCCAGAACAGCGAGACGGTGTGCTCCGTCTCCCTCTTCTAGCTTGGGGATGGCTGTGCAAAGCCTCTGCAGGGCAGCGGGGTGCCTTCACCCCGCTGCCCTGCGGAGGCTACAAAGGCTGTCCCTGAAGCCCCAAGCCTTTGGAGTACAGCGGGAACTCCACAAGCTTGGGGGGCAGCGGCAAGGCTGTGTGCAGCCTTTGCTCTGTTCCCCGACCTGCTCTTTGGGGCTGGCGGTGGGGGAAAGCAGCGCTTCCCCCCGCCAGCCCCAAAGAGCAGGCCGAAAGGAACCTGAAACCTCGGGAGCCCAGCGGGAACTCCCGCCACACTCCAGAGGCTTTGGGTTGCCTTCACTGAAGCCTGGAGAGCGAGAGGGGTCAGTGTGCACCAACCCCTCTCGCTCTCCAGGCTTCCAAGGTAGCCACCTGAAGCCTTCCGAGCGCAGCAGTAACTCCCGCTGTGCTCCGGAGGCTTTGGGTGAATGCACTTTGAACGCACCTTGTTTTAGAGGGGGAGAACAAGAAAAAAAAAATTTCCTGTTCTCCCCCTCCTATGGTCCGGTGCGTCATATAGAGTGAAAAATACGGTACTTTCAGCTTCATAAATTTAGACTGAATGCTTACACCTGCATCTATTTTTAAAACGCAAGTGTTACATCATATTGAATGAGTTTTAATTTAAGATTTTGTAGTAGACAGCCCAAAACTGCTTCTGGTAGACCACTTTTCAAACAGAAGCTGAAGAGTAGAGCTAAACCCAAAGGTGTTCAGGTTATAGAATCACTTGCACAAATATGAGCATGGCTGTAGAAGCTCCCTATTACGGCACCATATGAATGTTTGCACCTGCATTTTAAGGTCAGTTCCAGCATCTTTTGTCTTCCTTGCACATTTCACTGGATCAAACCTTGTGATTTGCAAGATAAAATTTCATATTTTGAAATAAAAATGCAAAGACATTTCTAGAAAGTGGGAATGGAAGTTAATGAGCAGAAATGTGTTTTGTCATGAGGAGGATAATGATGTTAGGATAGTCTGCTCAAACGGGAAAAAGATCTTGGAAGAAATAAAACAGGTTTAATAAAGCACTGAGGGGGTGCTTAGTGGATTATCAGGGTGGTATCTACTGGAGCCAGATGTTTGATAAGGCATGACCTGCTAATTTGTAGCCCCCAGCATCAATCCCATAATAACTGCAGTTGTTATTTTGCAATACTTTATATGCTTGACTCAGTTTCATCTTCATGTAGAAAAGCAGCCATTAAACTCTGTTCAATACCCACTCATGGATTCTGCCAAGTGAATTGTGTAGGCTTTGCTTGTATAAACTTTGTATTTCAGTTCGGGGAGGGGGGATACTTTACCGTTTTTTATTCTTCTTTATATATTTAAAATCACCTGGTCCAGAGAGCCCTGTGTGCAAATAGTTGCTTGAAGCTACCACAAACTTACAGAGCAGTTTTTAGAAGAAATGTTAGAGGAAAGAAGCACCACCCACATCTCTTTGTATTGTATAATCTAAACTATTTAAAACTTGTTTTAAATAAATTCTTTTGGTGACAAATTATGTGTCTATTCATTAATGGACCAGTACTCCAGCTTTACTTTTATATAAACTTGGGGCAAAGTTCCAACAAACACAGACATTAAGTGGGGAGTGGTGCAATGTCTGTAGGCCAGCTCATGAGATGTCTGTAAAAAAACTACTCATAGTTAGTACTGTAGGTTTTTTCTTGAATCCGTAAAACCATTCTCCGGCCGTAAAAGTCTCTGTATTCCTCTGGTAGCTCTTCTAGGGTTTTCAGTGCCCTGTCTAAAATCTGTACTGCTCTTGAGGCTGCCGCAAGATCTTTGTTTCCATAGGTGTCTGTTTTATCATAGCAATTAGAAGGAAGGTGTTTCCAGAAAACATTGACTCCCACGCCAAACTCCTCAGAAGTCACATTATGGAACCACAAAGCTATAAGCAGAGAGAGAAAAACTTTGAATGAAAATGCCTTGAATACAGTAACTAGAATCTGTAAGATATTGCTGTGAACAGTTAAAGAGAATGCTGTTCCAAATGCTCTGATGTGTTTTTCTTATATAAAAAATACCAATTTTTATGGCTAGCAAACAGTAATTGTACTTTAATGTTTCAGATTGGCAGAGACTGCTATAATTTCAGTATTCAGCATTCAGTATTTTTCTGTAAATATTAATTTCTGTAAGTTAGGTGGAGCTTATGATTTTCTACAGCTGAGAACACAGTACAGTATGACTATATTCTCAGTCCTAAGATCCTGTGTGACTAATGCAATACCTAGGAGCAGGACTATGTAATGCCCTCACCAAGTTGCACACCTACCATGCAATCTGGACCTGCCAAGTGCTTGACACCTACCCCTGTTTCCACAGCACAAGCCTGGCAGCAAAAATAGGAGGTATATTTATTTGCTAGTGATCTGCTTTGCCATGGGCAGGCAGCTAGGTTTGATTTAGTGGCTCATAATTTGCAGGGGCCTGATTTAAGCATAAATTGAAATAAAGACTCCCAACGACACATTTTGAAGAAGACAGTATTTTAACCTCAAACCAGCAAAGATCAGTTCATAGAAATGAGTCCTTATCTTAATAGTATTCAGACATAGCCTTTTATAAGTCTTCAGGGACTTACTTTTTACTGTTTAAAGGAAGAAAGCTTGAAAAACCTGTATAGCAGAGGACTCAGGTTGCTAAAATGCAGCACCATGGTTAACTGAAAAAAATGGCAGTACAGTGGTGCCTCGCAAGACGAAATTAATTCGTTCCGCGAGTTTTTTTGTCTTGCGATTTTTTTCGTCTTGCGAAGCACGGTTTCGGGAAAGTTTTAGAAAAGCTTCAAAAATCAAAGTCTTTAAAAACCTCAAAAAAGGCTACCACACCGCGTTCTGTGAGTTGCTCCTCGAAGTCAAGTCGCAACTGTATTAACGGTGTTAAGAAAAAGGAAACAAACTTGCAAGACGTTTCCGTCTTGCGAAGCAAGCCCATAGGGAAAATCGTCTTGCGAAGCAGCTCAAAAAACAAAAAACCCTTTCGTCTAGTGAGTTTTTCGTCTTGCGAGGCATTCATCTTGCGGGGCACCACTGTAAGTGTTAAGGGGGGAAATGTGATTTTCTGCTTTATACACCAATCCTCATTTCCAGAAATGTTATATAATTCAGTCAACATTGCATTCACGTTTTCTAAGAAAACTGAAGTGCTAAGTTTGTAACAGTCCACTCTGCCATTTTCCCAGGTAGGCTAGATTAATCACACTTATTACAAAACAAAGACTTGTGAATGCAACTATTTCCTCACCTGAGCATTAATGCTGTCTTAAACTGCATGTCATGTATTCTGATGCAAGTACATTGATTAGATTTTAGTCCGCTTGTGTGCTATTTAAATACTTAAACCCTCTTGAGGAGAGCAGATAGCTACAACTGCCTACTGTCCTCAGCGTCTGCAACGCTGTCAGTATTCTGAAATGCTATTATTATGCTAACATAATTATGCCAGGTCAGTTTTGAAACAAGCTATATTGAAAATGTATCCACATGCAAAGCATACCCAATACATAATTTTTGTAGGTGTGATGCAGCATTCATTTGGGTGCAGTTTTTAAAAGATGCATCCTCTTGGGAAAATCCACAGCGACACACACACAGCTGCACCATGAGATTTAAGCTGATTAATTGTACCACCGTAAATTTTTTGGATTGTTACATACACTGTACACCTTTAGCCCCTTAAACAGCAATCCAAGAAGTAATGGAGGAAAACAAAACGAGATTTCTGTGCCCACTTACCTGGAATAAACAAGACATCTCCTGCATTTAGCTGGCATTCATAACGTCTGGCCTTGACAAAGAGAGGGTATTTTTTCAAATCTGGCTCGTCCACATCTAGCACCTCTGACTTGGTACCTAATGAAGATGTGAACAAACAATGGACATGACTGTTTTGCTATTCGATTACTCTCAGGGATGCAAACATACTATGCAGGTATCCCAGTGTCAGAAAAGGCAGAGAGGAAAAACTGCATGTGTGTGTATACACTCCTGTGTGCTGAAGGCTGTCAATAGTACCCTATTTCTATTACTCTAGCTGACATTTGCAGCTATCAAATATAAGTGAATCCAATTCAGCCACGGTGTACTTTTAAAGGAAACATTCATCAGAACAGCTGACATACTTACCCTCAATTCTAAAAATACTAGAACCTGTTTTCACTGAAAGTGAAGGGACAGGATACCCAAATCCTGTCTGTGAAATCACCCCAGGCCTCAAAACTGTCCAAAATTCCTTTTGTCTTCTAAAAATCCACAGCTAAAGCTTCCCTCTGCTTATTCTCACAAGATGATGTGCATAGGCAAACCATTACTTTTTATCAGTACAAGAAGGCTTCAAAAAGCTAATGAATAGGCTCTGTTCAAAGCAAGGCCTGAGAACTGAATCTTATCTCATTCCAGTTGCAACACATCTGAACATGCTGAACGCAAGGCTTCTCTCATTCCCCCTTTCCTGGGAAGGGTGCCAAGAGTCCGAAAGAGTCCCAAGACAGGGGAGCTTTCTGTTCATGCTCAGAGGAACTCATGGGCAGGACTCCTGAGGGAGGAGAAAAAGGGAGGGAACTGGAAGGGGATATATACTCTGTGCACATGACTGTGAACTCGTGCATGCCTTTTGTGAGTTATCACACTTGCTCCTTCTACCAGTTCATGGATGGTAGAAATAAAGCTTTTTCTCTGAAACTATTCCTTGAGGGTCTGTTGACTCCCATTTTCCCTTTCCCGGGCGCAATATTTTTCCCACCCGAGGGCAAAGCCTCATAAGGCTACAAAAGTAAACATAGCACAACAGGATTTTGCTACAAGCCTGTTATGTTCCTCCACTCAAGTGATTTCCATAAAGATTGCTTGAATGTATGGATCATTGTGGACAGAATCTTCTACTCAGTCTCATCTAGAATGCAAACTGCCAATTGGAGTAACTGTCAAATGATCTCTACCAATTTGCACCTGGTTCATAAGTTGCCTACTCTGTCTAGCTATCTCAGTGGGGGAAAGGACTGGATTTGTCTGGTTGGGGTTTGGGGATGTTCCCCCCCCCCCTTTTCATAGCTTGGAAGTGACTAAGTGCTGACCCAGGAGATGTGGAGTTGTTTAGAAAGCAATGTGCTCACAATCCTAGGCAATGCTATTTTTTTTTAAAAAGGCATCCTGAAAATTACAGGGCAGTTCGCTTAACATCTGGTCTGTAAAAAAAGTGGAATAAAGCATTACTTAGTATGGAATAACGCTGAGATTAAGAGTCTCATGGTCTACCAGCTGGGCTATCCCAGGGCCCAATGACCATCAATGGTTATGGCTAAATGGAAACTTCAGGTTCAGAGGCAGTTTGACAGCAAATAGCAGCTGCCGGAGAGCAACAGCAAGGAAATGTTGCTCTTGTCATGCCCTGCTTCACGTGGGCTCGCCAGAGGCATCTGGTGGGTCGCAGTGGGACAGGATAGGCCTTTGGTTTGATCCAGCAGGTCATGTGAGTACTAAGCTGCCCACCACTGAAGAAAATGGGTTGTATCCAGCTGAGTCAGAGCAGACCCACTGAAATCAATGGACATGACTAATTTAAGCTCATTGACTTCAGTGGATCTGTTCTGGCCTAGCTAGATAAAACCCCAAGGGCAGAATCCATTGTTAGGAAAGCAGACTTCCACTTATGCAACTGGAGTTCTCCTTTCGCTTGTGTGCCCCCAAAATCTGCTCTGGAGGGTCTCCATTGGAGTAGTTTTCTGGGGGGAGGTGTTGCAGGTGGGACTTGGGGGTGGGGGAGGAGATAGGGAGAGGAAATACCACTGCACAAGTGAAAGTGAGTGCCTGTGGCATGTAACATACCTGATAAATACAAATATGGTGCATCACGAGGACTGTACAGTACAACCTTCTTCTTTCCGGTCACCTGAATTAAGAAGTTATCCATTACCTAAAAATGTGAAAATGACAAGTATTACTTGGCATGCGACCAGAAAAGAATTTCAGTTATCACAATACAGTGGTACCTTGGGTTACATAAGCTTCAGGTTACATACGCTTCAGGTTACAGACTCCGCTAATCCAGAAATAGTACCTCGGGTTAAGAACTTTGCTTCAGGATGAGAACAGAAATTGCGCAGCAACGGCACAGCAGCAGCAGCTGGAGGCCCCATTAGCTAAAGTGGTGCTTCAGGTTAAGAACAGTTTCAGGTTAAGAACGGACCTCCGGAACGAATTAAGCTCTTAACAGCGAGGTACCACTGTAACTACACTAAACATAGCATTGTTGAAGGGGCTCTGGAAATTCAGGAAGCTCATACTGGGGAGGAAGAGCACTGTTCTCTCTCATGCCACACCAGGGGTCAGCAAACTTTTTCAGCAGGGGGCCAGTCCACTGTCCCTCAGACCTTGTGGGGGGCCGGACTATATTTTGAAGGGGGGGAAATGAACGAATTCCTATGCCCCAATAATCCAGAGGTGCATTTTAAATAAAAGTACACGTTCTACTCATGTAAAAACACCAAGCAGGCCCCACAAATAATCCAAAGATGCATTATAAATAAAAGGACACATTCTACTCATGTAAAAACACGCTGATTCCCGGACCATCCGCGGGCCGGATTTAGAAGGCACTTGGGCCAGATCCGGCCCCCGGGCCTTAGTTTGCCTAACCGTGCGCTACATCATACACGAAGTTAGTGGTCATTCCTTGCCCTGCAAGAAGCAGGAATAGAGACGCAGAATGCTCACCATTCTGCTTCTCGCTGTTTGTACACAATTCCTCTTAATCTCTCTCCTGGGCTCACCTACACGTATGCAGTTACTCAGATACACACAGCTCCAATCCCTTCAATATGTACCAGCAATGATTGATGTACTGACCTCAAAGTGTGTCCTCTACGTCCCGTTTTCCTGCCCCACGGACAACACTGAGTCTAGATGCCAATTGCCGACTTTGGGAGAGGGGGGCTTTTGGTTGCTCTGCTTCCCAGTGCACCAGGAGCAGAGACTAAAAATCCTGCCACTGGGTTGGCAAATAATGAGACTGAGCACAGTTACAACAGGCCATCTGGGTTTTAGTCACAACCTACAAAGGTAAAGGTAAAGGGACCCCTGACCATTAGGTCCAGTCGTGACCAACTCTGGGGTTGCAGCGCTCATCTCGCTTTACTGGCCGAGGGAGCCAGCGTACAGCTTCTGGGTCATGTGGCCAGCATGACTAAGCCGCTTCTGGCGAACCAGAGCAGCACACGGAAACGTTGTTTACCTTCCCACCCGAGTGGTACCTATTTATCTACTTGCACTTTGACGTGCTTTCGAACTGCTGGGTTGGCAGGAGCAGGGACCGAGCAATGGAAGCTCACCCCGTCCTGGGGATTCGAACCGCTGACCTTCTGATCGGCAAGTCCTAGGCTCTGTTGTTTAACCCACAGCGCCACCCGCGTCCCTTATCACAACCTATACTCCAGGTCAAATGCCAGAGGGAAGGCCTAACTGCCATACCAAGTAGCTTGTTTTGTTGCCGGTGTGGCATACAGAGTGTCGGACTAGGACTTGGGAGACCAGGGTTCGAATCCCCACTCAGCCATGAAGCTCACAGGTTGACCTTGGGCCAGTCACAAACTCTGAGCCTAGCCTACCTCACAGGGTTGTTGTGAGGAGGAGAACCATGTACACCACTTCCCTTGAGTTTCTTGGAAGATAAATGGGGGATATCGTATAATTATTAATAATAATAATATTAATAGTCCACTGGGACGCGGGTGGCGCTGTGGGTAAAACCTCAGTGCCTAGGACTTGCTGATCGTAAGGTCGGCGGTTCGAATCCCCACGGCGGGGTGAGCTCCCGTTGTTCGGTCCCAGCTCCTGCCCACCTAGCAGTTCGAAAGCACCCCTAAGTGCAAGTAGATAAATAGGTACCGCTTTATAGCAGGAAGGTAAATGGCGTTTCCGTGTGCTGCGCTGGTGCTGGCTCGCCAGTTGCAGCTTCGTCACGCTGGCCACGTGACCCGGAAGTGTCTCCGGACAGCGCTGGCCCCCGGCCTCTTAAGTGAGATGGGCGCACAACCCTAGAGTCGGTCACGACTGGCCTGTACGGGCAGGGGTACCTTTACCTTTATTAATAGTCCAGGAAGTTGGGTGGCAGATCACTGCCAATCAGGGTGGATAAAAATAAATGATTTTTTAAAAAAAAAATTTAAAAGGATTTTTTAGATATAAATTGGAATTTTTATACAGTGGTACCTTGGGTTACATACGCTTCAGGTTACATACTCTTCAGGTTACAGACTCCGCTAACCCCGAAATAGTGCTTCAGGTTAAGAACTTTGCTTCAGGATGAGAACAGAAATCGTGCTCCAGCAGCGCGGCAGCAGCAGGAGGCCCCATTAGCTAAAGTGGTCTTCAGGTTAAGAACAGTTTCAGGTTAAGTACGGACCTCTGGAACAAATTAAGTACTTAACCTCAGGTACCACTGTATTTAAATCGGATTTTTAAAATAAAATGCTTTGGGAGGAAAAATCTTTCTAAATAGTTTTCTGTTTAAGTTACATTATAGTCCAAAGGCTATTCACTAGGAAATAAGGATTTGTTTAAACTTTTCATGTGCGCTAAAACTCAGTCCAAGTTTAAATAAAAAATGTTTAACCGCATCAGTTAACAAACATGGATACATATGCTATAATGTTATAGTTTTAGTTAAATAAATTATTTAAATTGTTATTAAGGAAATGATCTTTTTTCTCCTTCCAATAAAGTACAGCAGGAAAGTTGTCCAAATATAAACAGTTAAGTTATTAAACTTCACCATAATTTCATAATTATCGGTCTATATACAGTAGTATCTCAGGTTACATAGGAGGAGGCCCCATTAGCTAAAGTGGTGCTTCAGGTTAAGAACAGTTTCAGGTTAAGAACAGACCTCTGGAACGAATTAAGTACTTAACCCGAGGTACCACTGTATTTCTACCAAATCAGTAATTTTTGATATATCTGTAAAAGCTACTCTGAAAATTTATTATTCCAAAAATGAAACCTTCATCTGGTTGTCAATATTAAGATTATACCAGCAAGAATGAGTCTTTCTGTAAAAATAAATAAATAAATAAATAAAGTCTTACTGACTAGTGATTTAAATTGATTTGATTTAAATCAAACCCACCCTGCTGCCAATAAAGCGTAAGATGAGCTTGTCATTGTTCTTTGTTAAAAGATGCTTAGAGGCATATTACCTACATCATAATGTGTCCAAAGTTGCATTCCTGCTGAGCTTATGCGGAAGACAGTAGAGAAAAACTGCTCTTTCTCAAAGTACTCTGGGATCTGAATATCATCTGCCAGCAGAGGAAACTGCTTTCTAAGATCTGCAATCTCCTGAAACAAACAAAAAAAGGGGGTAGGGGTCATATTTAAGGTTTTCTATACAGTGTCCGATCCAAGGGGAAAGGGTGGAAATTATTGGGACACTACATACAGGCCTGATCTCATTCCTCAGCAGGTGCTGAGAATAATTAAGGAGCAGATCCATCTGTATTTCTTTTCTTTTTTTATATAATAATTTTTTATTAAGGTTTTAAACAAACAAAAAAGAAAAACAACACACACAAAAAACAATACAAAACTTAACAATATAAACACAAAACAATTAATAACAAACTCTCTTTTCCATTTCCAATTTTAAGTTACTTATTTTCTGGACTTCCTCATACCTCCCTCTTTTGTATTCCAATCCACATTATTTATCCAGCAGTTTCTTTTCCACTTTTTTAATCCCAATCTTTAATTTAATAAAATGTTAAAATATATAACTTCAACTTTTTAAACCTAATCCTTGGTCTTAATATCCTGTAACTTTAAAGTATTCCCTTTTAAAATCAAATTTCCATTTCTTTAAACTTCTTTAATCTTAATCTTTAATCTTAATCTATCCTTAACTTTAACCTGTGCAGCTGGAAACCACTTATTTTCAGTCCAACATCACTCTAACATTCCTTAATTTTGCAGTGTTTCTGAAGATAGTCTTTGAATTTCTTCCAGTCTTCCTCCATCGACTCTTCTCCCTGGTCACGGATTCTACCAGTCATTTCCGCCAATTCCATATAGTCCATAAGTTTCATCTGCCATTCCTCCAGCGTGGGAAGTTCTTGTGTCTTCCAATACTTTGCGATGAGTATTCTTGCTGCTGTTGTTGCATACATAAAGAAAGTTCTATCCTTTTTTGACACCATTTGGCCCACTATGCCCAGGAGAAAGGCCTCTGGTTTCTTAGGGAAGGTATACTTAAATACCTTTTTTAATTCATTATATATCATTTCCCAGAAAGCCTTAATCTTTGGGCACGTCCACCAAAGGTGAAAAAATGTACCTTCAATTTCTTTACATTTCCAACAGATCCATCTGTATTTCTTCCCACATAGACATGAGGGGCCATTGGAAACTCGACTGAATATTTGACTTAGTAGATGAACTAGTAAAAAGGTTAAAGGGACCCCTGACCATTAGGTCCAGTCGTGACCGACTCTGGGGTTGCAGTGCTCATCTCGCTTTATTGGCCGAGGGAGCCGGCGTACAGCTTCCGGGTCATGTGGCCAGCATGACTAAGCCGCTTCTGGCGAACCAGAGCAGTGCACGGAAACGCCATTTACCTTCCCGCCAGAGTGGTACCTATTTATCTACTTGCACTTTGACATGCTTTCGAACTGCTAGGTTGGCAGGAGCAGGGACCGAGCAACGGGGATTCGAATTGCTGACCTTCTGATCGGCAAGTCCTAGGCCCTGTGGTTTAACCCACAGCGCCACCCACGTCCCTAGATGAACTAGTACGAGCTGCAAAAAAAAAAAGGCCTTTTCGTTTGACAAGGATAAATTGGGTCCTTGAGCCACAATAACCAGGGCAGTTCGTGGTCTGCGTTTGGATAAATGAGGCACAATATGATGTGTACAAATGCAGTAATTGTGTGTACATTTTGCATCTTAAAAAAAAAAAAAAGGCCCAAACACCGCATTCAATTCCAAACCCTGCAGAAATGGGGGTTTGTTTTTTGCAAGGGGGCAGAAGAGGTACGAGTAGATTAGGAACATCTGGCTAGAATAACATGGTTGAAGTTTGCGTAGGAAACATTCCACATTCTTCAGAACCAGTAGCGTCTTTTGCAAACACTACTTGTACACTTTCAGATCAATCCCCAAAACCATATGAATCAGCAGGGCCAGATTTAGATTTGATGAGGCCCTAAGCTACTGAAGGTAATGGGGCCCTTTATATGTCCAGCTGTCCTTTGTCAACAACAAATTGTCGCTGTTTTCTGTGCTATATAATATATGCTATATGGTAATTTACGAACCTAATCGGTATCTAAAGCCATTTGCACATAACCAATAGGAGCCTACACAACACAAAACACTGTTGCTGTATGTAGGTTTTATTTTATTTCTTTTTTAACTTATATTTTGGAAATGTACATCCAGGTTTTTTTCCCTTTAAATTTTTTTGGGGGCCCCAAGAGAGTGGGGCCCTAAGCTATAGCATGTTAAGCCTATAAATAAATCCAGGACTGTGAATCAGGGAGGACTGTGACAGGGAACGGTCCTCATTAATCTCATCCAGCATTTGGTGCCTATACGCCCTCTAAATGAGTGCAGAGGGTTCAGTCAATTCTCCCACCCACCCCCATCAGATCCAAACTGCCCTCTTTTCCCCTCTTTTCTTTTTTTAAGACAAGGCATATTCCAATGAAGTGTTTTATAGGAAAGCAGAGGAACACCTTTTAAGATGAGACACCATTACTCACCTTCCTTGGGTCTTCTCCCAGGGATCGCAAATAATATTTTTCATCCTTAAGAAAGACAGAAGTCATTTCAATGAACACACATCAACATTTTGCTGTGGGTCACGAAATTAAAAGACACCTGCTTCTTGGGAGAAAAGCAATGGCAAACCTAGACAGCATCTTAAAAAGCAGAGACATCACCTTGCCAACAAAGGTCCATATAGTTAAAGCTATGGTTTTCCCAGTAGTAATGTATGGAACCGCGAGCTGGACCATAAAGAAGGCCGATCGCCGAAGAATTGATGCTTTTGAATTATGGTGCTGGAGGAGACTCTTGAGAGTCCCATGGACTGCAAGAAGACCAAACCTATTCATTCTGAAGGAAATCAGCCCTGAGTGCTCACTGGAAGGACAGATCGTGAAGCTGAGGCTCCAAGACTTTGGCCACCTCATGAGAAGAGAAGACTCCCTGGAAAAGACCCTGATGTTGGGAAAGATGGAGGGCACAAGGAGAAGAGGACGAGATGGTTGGACAGTGTTCTCGAAGCTACCAGCATGAGTCACATGCCAAACACTAAAACATTTTGAAATAAAAGGAGAAATGTTTAAAGTAGCTACTCAGCTAAAGGGGTCGAAGTGCTTCAGAAACTGTATGTGAAACAGCTTCGAATCCAGTATAGAACAAGTGCTATTAAAAAGAGAGAGAATTAAAAAGAACTCTTCTGCATATTGTCATATAATCAGTCATAATGCAGTCAATTACACTGCAAATATAAAGTGTAAGTCACCGGGGTGAATATCATAGAAATGTAGAGTTGGAAAGGACCCCCAGCTGATGGTGGATCCCACCAGAGTCTATGTGCACTGGCTATAAATGCATCAAAGATTGGGCCGAAGTGAGGCACTGCAATCCTGCACACACAAACACATACCTGGGAGTACTTACTTTTGAGTAGACAGTCCTTGTACTGATATAATGCAACCCTGCTCACAGTTACTTGAGAGTAAGAACCACCCACACCCAGTAGAATTTACAGCGAAGTACAGTTCTCATCTCACATTTTAAGGCATTTCGCGGGATTAATATTTTGAATTTCAACCTACACCTCTCCCCAAAAAGCCATATCTCAGTGTAATTACAATATCACAATCTTACCTCTGAAATAAAGTAATCTGTATGTTTGGCTTCAGCAGCTCTCCTTATGAATACATCGAAAGGTAACGTTCTGAAATAAAAATATATTTAAATTAAAACTCTCCAGGCGTTTCACATGGAATAGGACTTTTACCAGATATGGGGCACCATTGCAATAACAACTCCAAATAGATTGCTTTGCTTTTTAAAACCCACAAGGCTTACCCGGTGGGGGGAGGGGTGTGTGGAACCCACTGCAAATTGCTTAACTGGCTTATATTTATACTGTTCTTTGATTTATGTTTTTAGCTTTGCACAGCATCGGTGGTTTTAATGTTTTATTTATGTTGTGTCATGTTAATACTGGCAAGGAAACATGTCAATGGACTTAACTCTAAGTGCATTCCTTTAGGATTGTGCTATTAGCCCCACTGTTTACAATGGAAATAATTACAAGTAGCCCTGACCCAACAAATTTGTGGTTTTCATTTATGCTGGGACATTATATTCTAAAACCAAGGCTCTCATTTTCTTTTACACAGAGCACCATGAAGTTTAAGTAAGAGCACACAATGTCCCCCTTTGGTGTTTGAATGGGTCACGAGGATAGGAGCTGTCTAAGACAGCTTAGGAATTTCACAGGCAAATGATAATGGACAATTGGATAAATTAGATCTTGGTAGTGACATTACCCTGCTTGGTTCACTGGGGAAGAAGGGGCGATTATTCAGAGCCACAGCGGAACAAAAATGGTCTGTGCATCAAGGGTCGTGAGGTGGGAATACAGCAATTAGGCTTTGAAAAGCAGTTCCAACAATTCAAGAAAGAACACTCCGGGTAGTAGAACGCTCCCAAACCCAATGCCAAAAAAGTTGTTTTTTCATTTTTCATTTTAACAAAACTGCATTTTTTTCAGTTAATTGTGCTAGATCAAATCAATTTTAAACTTCCAGTCATGGAAACTTATCAGAAACCTGTTAATATACATACTGTAATTGTCATATAATCAGACATGCTACTGTCAATTACACTGCTTATATAAAGGGTATGAGCTGTTCTGGGGGTTCTCCTGAACCCATTCTCCTGAATTCTCCTGAATCCCATTGCGCTAATCACTGTCCCAACTTTTTTCAAAGAGGGCCAGATCTGATGAAGTGAAGGGCCGTGAGGGCTGACCAAAGGGCCAACCAAGCTTTTTTTTTAGGGTTGAAGTTGTTGAGCTTTTTTTAGGATTGAAGTTTTGGGATTTGAAGGAGCAGGATTAAACCAACCGGTGGGCCAGATTAGGACTTTGGACATGCCTCCACTAGTGGAATTCCTTGTGCTGCCTTCTGCTAATGGAATTGGGTAGTTGAATCCCACCTGTTTCCTAAACATATTAGGTCTTTTGTATGTCACCTGCTTCCCTACAACTGGGGTAGTGAGCATGGTGCCTTCTAGATGTTGCAACTACAGTTGACCATTGGCCATGCTGGCTGAGGTTGATGAGAATCATAGTCCAAAATCATCTGGAGGGCAAGACACTGGCTACCCCTGGACCTTAGCCTATAAACCCCATTGCTTATTTTCCCCAAGCTCTCTAGGACCCACTGTACTGCTGCTTCACCACATACCCAGCTCACACTTTCTCTCTCCCTCCCTCTCTGTCACACACAGGAACATGGATTCTCAGCACAATTGGGAACCCCTTCCTTTCAACAATGCTAGTAGGATCACCCATTTTAGAACTCCAAGTCTTGATTCTTTATTGACCTACTACCAACAAGACATGACACAGGTATATACAGTGGTACCTCGGGTTACATACGCTTCAAGTTACAGACTCCGTTAACCCAGAAATAGTGCTTCAGGTTAAGAACTTTGCTTCAGGATGAGATCAGAAATCGTGCTCCGGCGGCGCGGCAGCAGCAGGAGGCCCCATTAGCTAAAGTGGTGCTTCAGGTTAAGAACAGTTTCAGGTTAAGTACGGACCTCTGGAACGAATTAAGTACTTAACCTGAGGTACCACTGTATAGCAGTCAAAGTGTTGGTGCGGACCTTTAAAGCCCTAAACAGCCTCGGCCCAGTATACCTGAAGGAACATCTCCACCCCTGTCATTCAGCCCGGACACTAAGGTCCAGCTCCAAAGGCCTTCTGACAGTTCCCTCACTGCGAGATGTGAAGTTATGGGGAAACAGGCAAGAGAGCCTTCTAACTCTGACAGGTGGGTGGGACCACTAGTCAATTACCTGATGTCATAAAGATGGCAGGTGATTGACACCTGTCAAAGTTCAAAGGTCATTGGCACAGCAGTTAATCAGCTGATTGGCACTTAAACAGAATCTCCTGAAAACAGAGCATTTCTGTCTGCTAAGAACATGGTTGGGATTCAGAAATGTTTACCCCCAGCACCTTAAATCCAAACTGCATCCTCTGGAAAGAAAGAAAAATGCTCTGTTTTTAAATGGAGCATATTTTCTCTGTCCAGTGGAAGCAGCTTAGCTTTAAAGTGCTGGAGGAAGCTCTCTGAATCAAAGCCACTTCCTGCAGCCCCTTTGGCTGCATAAGGCAGCTCCCCTCATACAGCCCATCGCAGCTGATTGTCGGTGCCTGCAGAGTCTTCCCTGCACTTGAAGCCTCTACAAACAGCAGACAGTTCCTTCAAAGTTTCTTGCAAAGGGCTTTGCAGGTGCCCCTTTCTGGCTCAGCCACTACTTTACCTCCTCCACAGCTCATGTCATAGATGAAGCAAGGCCTAATTAGGCCTACAGTCCAGAAGTTCCACTCCCCTGGTATGTATAATTCCCAGTTCTGGTTTGAAAAAGCCACAAAACCCAATTGTGATGTCATGACAATAGGAAAACAACAGGGTGAGTGTACAGAAGAAAGCACAAGTCATCAGCAAAGTGGTCTGATCTGCACAATATTTGAATGTATCACAAAGCCACATAGGCAGGGAACTGCTTTTGCCTTGGTGTCCCATAAGATGTGATGGCCTGAAAATTAAACCGAGGAGCAGAAGAGGTCACAGATAGCGCGGGGCGATATATCAATATATCGTCCATATCTTGATATTGGTTTCATAGTTTTTGACCTGGCAATATATCGCGAATCATGGTGTGTGTTAGGGCTGGACAATATATCACCCAAAACCGGTTTCAAGTCCATATGATATTGGTTTTATAATTTTTGACCCGGCAATATATTGCGAATCATGGTGTGTGTGTGTGTGTGTGTGTGATGCCAAAATCAAATGTGGGGAGGAACATGAAGGCAGCCAATGCCTCTACATAGCTCCAACCTTATTTCAAACATTGTGATACAGTGGTACCTCGGGTTAAGTACTTAATTCGTTCCGGAGGTCTGTTCTTAACCTGAAACTGTTCTTAACCTGAAGCACCACTTTAGCTAATGGGGCCTCCCGCTGCTGCCGTGCCGCTGGAGCACGATTTCTGTTCTCATCCTGAAGCAAAGTTCTTAACCTGAAGCACTATTTCTGGGTTAGCGGAGTCTGTAACCTGAAGCGTATGTAACCTGAGGTACCACTGTATATCAGTATGTCACAATGTTTAGCTGGTGATATATCACGTTGAAAACCAGATCTCACCCCCCACAGAACATCAGGTCAACTGTTCTTGGAAGGGAGAAAATCTCCTACAGCTTCAAAAGCAGAACAAGATAACAACTCATAATTCAGAATGCCATTTGCAAAGTGAAAGCACAGATCCCATATAAAAAGTTTCAAGCAGAAGCACTGAGTCTCTAAAAGTCTGGAGCATTCCTCTAACAGCAGAGAAAGTATTGAAACGGAATACCTATACAGAAAGTTCTTACTGAGGAAGTCCATCTGTGGCACCGCAGAAACATGAACCTTCACTTCTTTATTTCCTGATGCTTGACTGAGGTAATCCACGGTCCACTTGGTCATGCAAGGACCCAAATCAATACCTTTCAGCACTACTGGCTTTCTCTAAGATTAAAAAATATATATTATTGCAGAATATTTTTGCAATTCTACTACCTTCTACCAACAACCATTCTCAACAGTACGGACAGTTATGACATCTAAGAATATACTGGCATAATGTTACTAATCAATGCAAATACATACATGCTTTCAAACATTACATCTTTGCTAAGTTGAGTTTCAACTTAAAAATGCTGAAAGTCAATATGAGCATCATGTTGACGTTGTGATGTTCTGGTAAAATACAGGGCAGGGTGGGGCAGTTGGTGGATGGTTTTTTTTCCATCTGGTGCTGAAGTGACTTGAAAGCAATCCATTACAACCTATTGCAGCCTAACAGGAGGACCCGTCTGGAAATTGTCACCTACACACACATGAATTTGTAAATCTGTTTGGGCTTGGCTACCCAGGGCTTACGCAGGTGGTGCTGTGGGTGAAACCACAGAGCCTAGGACTTGCTGATCAGAAGGTTGGCGGTTCGAATCCCCGCGACAGGGTGAGCTCCCGTTGCTCGGTCCCTGCTCCTGCCAACCTAGCAGTTCGAAAGCACGTCCAAGTGCAAGTAGATAAATAGGTACCGCTCCAGCAGGAAGGTAAACGGTGTTTCCGTGCGCTGCTCTGGTTCTCCAGAAGTGGCTTAGTCATGCTGGCCACATGACCCGGAAGCTGTACGCCGGCTCCCTCAGCCAATAAAGCGAGATGAGTGCCGCAACCCCAGAGTCGGTCATGACTGGACCTAACGGTCAGGGGTCCCTTTACCTTACCTACCCAGGGCTTAAATGCATGACCTTTCAAACACATGCATTTGGAGAGGACATCGTGCGGTGTTGCTGTTTTACAGAAGGCAAAGAAGTATCATGGCAATAAGTCTGACGGTTTTGTTTTTGTTTTTTTAAGAGTTCTACAAAAATATAAAGCTGATTATCGTTACAAGGCTGGTAACAAGAGAACCACGGAAAGTGCGATTCCCCCCCCCCCTACCAGAGGGTAGATGTCCTGCAGAAAACGCTCCCGGGTGACCCCGGGGTACTGAGCCAGGGGGATGACTCGCTGCCCCTCCATGCCCGGACCAGATCCTCTCTCCCTGTCGTTTCCACGATCGGGTTGCTTCCTCCAGGGAAACCAGACTTTCCAGGCCGAGAAGACCGCGCGGTTGTTTTCTCCTTTCGCAAGGGGAAGGTGGGATAAAGCAGACTCCTGCCTTGCGAGGCGCTTCCAGCCCAGCACCTATTAGACGATCAGCTCAGTCCGTAGGGCAGGGTTCCCCACACGTGGGTCTCCAGCTGATTTTGGACTACAACTCCCATCATCCCTAGCTAGGAGGACCCAGTGGCCAGGGATGATGGGAATTGTAGTCCGGAAAAAACAGCTGGAGACCCAAGTTTGGGAAACCCTGCGGCAGAGCATGATCGAGCGCTATGTTAGGCTAAAACAGTATTTCCCAAGCTTCGGTCTCCGGCGGCTTTTTTTGGGGGGGGGGGGGAGGACTACAACTCCCATCATCCCTAGCGAGCAGCTGATTTTGGACTACAACTCCCATCATCCCTAGCGAGCAAGACCGGTGCTCGGGGATTGTAGTCCGAAAACAGCAGGAGACCCAAGTTTTGGCCAAAAGAAACCTGCTTTGCGAGGGTTTTGGGGTGAGATGGTCCCTTCCGATGCTTCTATGGCTCGGCCCTAAGGTGCTGGAGGGGAGGCGGCCGGAACCTTCCTCCCGGCGGAACCTTCCGCCCGGCACTCTCTCGCTCCGCCCGGACGCCTTTCGCGGCCGGACTCCCGCGGGATGACAGGAGGGCTGAGGCGGGGAGCGATGGCGCTGCCCGTGGGCGCCTCCCGCAGCCGCTGCCCGTGGGCCCTGCGGGTCCCCGCGGCCCACCCGCGCCGGTACTTCCTGCTCCCGGCGGCGGACCAGGCCAAGCCCGGCCGGGCCGGGTTCCCGCGGCCTCCCTCTCCCCGCCGGGCCGCCCTTGCGCCCCCTCCCCGCTTGCCCGTGGTCCCCGCGCGCCCCTGCAGCGGCGGCCCCGAGCCCGGCGGGCGGCGGAAGGCCGGCGTGGTGGTGGTCGGTGTGCCCAACCCGCTCATGTGGCTCCGCACCCGCCTCTACTTCTTCCTCGTCCGCGCCTACTTCGACCAGGAGTTCAGCGTCCACGAGTTCACGGAAGGGGCCAAGCAGGTGAGGAGGGGCTTTGGGCAGGAGCCTCAGGGGGTCAGGATCCACGGGGCAGCAGAGCCCCATATCACGTCTTTCTCCCCATCGGCCCTTGCCAGGGCCGGATTTTACTACAGTGGTACCTCAGGTTACATACGCTTCAGGTTACATACGCTTCAGGTTACAGACTCCACTAACCCAGAAATAGTACCTCGGGTTAAGAACTTTGCTTCGGGATAAGAACAGAAATCATGCTGCGGTGGCAGCAGGAGGCCCCATTAGCTAAAGTGGTGCTTCAGGTTAAGAACAGTTTCAGGTTAAGTACGGACCTCCGGAACGAATTAAGTACTTAACCCGAGGTACCACTGTATAAGCTAAACAAGCTATAGCTTAGGCCCGCACTCTCTTAAGTAAAGGTAAAGGGACCCTGACCATTAGGTCCAGTCGTGACCAACTCTGGGGTTGCAGCGCTCATCTTGCTTTATTGGCCGAGGGAGCCGGCGTACAGCTTCCGGGTCATGTGGCCAGCATGACTAAGCCGCTTCTGGCGAACCAAAGCAGCGCACGGAAACGCCGTTTACCTTCCCACCGGACGTGCTTTCGAACTGCTAGGTTGGCAGGAGCTGGGACAGAGCAACGGGAGCTCACCCCATCACAGGGATTCTGACCGCCAACCTTCTGTCGGCAGATCCTAGGCTCTGTGGTTTAACCCACAGCGCCACCCACATCCCACGAACCACCTGCATCCCACTCTCTTGGGGTCCCCCAAAAAATTAAAGGACAAAAAACTGTCTGTACATTTTCCAAAATATAAGATAAAAAACAAAACAAAAAATAAAACCTACATACAGTAACAGTGTTGTGCGTTGTGTAGGCTCCTATTTGTTATGTTCAAATTATTTTAGATACCTGTTAAGTCCATAAATTACCATATAGCATATATTCAACACAAAAAACAGTCAATTTGTTGTTGACAAAGGACAGCTGGCTATATAAAGGGCCCCATTACCTTCAGTAGCTTGGGGCCTCATCAAACCTAAATATGGCTCAGCTTGTCGCTGATGCAGATCTTCCCTCGCCCCTTCTTTTCTGGCAGGAAGGGGGTGTCATTTTGGGATCCGCCTCAGGCGCCAAAATGTATTGGGTCAACCCTGGGTTATGGCGACCTTGTCTTTCTTCTTCTTTGGCAATCACTTGTAGCCGAGTAAGGTTGTCTTCCGTGAACACGGTGTGAGTCCATGACTGCGGAGGCCAATTCTGGATCCGCACGTCCTTCCACAGTGGGGACATAGGTTTCCAGACAAGAGTTGATCACGGTGAGGGATTGCCAAACCTGCCTTCCTCTTAGCACATTTCTCCCTTTCGTCCTGAGGTCGAGCATCTTCAAAGTCCATGACACCTTTGGTAGAGGCTATTCTACAATTGGAGCACTCGCAGGCCAGTGTTTCCCAGTTGTCAGTGTTTATGCTACATTTATACCATTCATGGTTCACTAGGGACCCTGGTGGTTCTGTGGTCTAAACCACTGAGTCTCTTGGGCTTGCTGATTGGAAGGTCAGCAGTTCGAATCCGCATGACAGGATGAGCTCCTGTTGCTTTGTCCCAGCTTCTGCCAACCTAGCAGTTCGAAAGCACGCCAGTGCAAGTAGATAAAGAGGTACCACTGCGGCAGGAAGGTAAGCGGCATTTCCGTGCGCTCTGGTTTCCGTCACGGTGTCCCGTTGTGCCAGAAGCGGTTTAGTCATGCTGGCCACGTGATCTGGAAAGAAGTCTGCGGGCAAACATTGGCTCCTTTGACCTGAAAAGCAACATGAGCACTGCAGCCCCATAGTCGACTTTGATTGGACTTAACCATCCATGGGTCCTTTATCTTTACCTTTTTTTGCACATGGTACAGTGTCCTCGTATCATGCCATTGGGCCTCCTTGACACAGCAAAGCATAAAAGTATAAAACTGTAGGGTTGGAAGCGACCACGAGGGGCATCTAGTCCAACCGCCTGAAATGCAGGAATCTTTTGCCCGCTGTGGGGCTTGAACCCACAACCCTGTGATTAAGTGTCTCATGCTCTTATTGATTGAGCTAAGGCAGAAATTCGACGGGTGAAGCTGCCCAAGCTCTGACTTCTTGAAGAAAAAGTCAACCTTGCAAATGAGCCCACAGGGGTTACTGGCCTGTCCTGTTTCAAAACCAGCAACTACTGAAGTAGCTTGTTTTTCTATGCTGTCTGCAGAGGAAAGGTAGCCTATCCCCCTCCCCTGCCTAGCATGAAAATCCAAGTGGCAAGCATTTTAGCAAGCTAGTGTTGTTATTTATTTTTATATTTATAGTTATTATTTATATTTATTATTTATTTATTTCATATCCTGCTCAGTTGTACAAAAACAAGAACAAAGTGGTTTACCAAAATGATAAAACAATAAAATCAAGAAACAATTACAACCATACATTAAAACATTACAAAAGTTAAAACATTAAAAAGAGATTACGATTACCTAGTAAGGTAAAGAAGTGAAATTATCTTATATCAAATAAAGTGGTGGAGGAAGGATGCAACAGTCCTGCCACTTTCGCCAGCCTGCTTGGTTTCAATGCTGGTTGTGGTTCCCCTTTCTCTTCAGTTACTGTGGAAGCCAAGGGAATAATGAGAAAACTATGCTACTTCCACCTAGCAGTCCACTCATTCCTGGTTACATGTGGCAAGTTGTTAAGTGTAAGTCTCTTACAAGTGAAATCCATGGAGGATACCAGTGATAACTAAATGGCCCCTCTGGGCACATGGACTGTATTGCTTTGAGTATTAGATGCCAAGGAAAAACAGTGATGGATGTTGAATTAGATGAATCCTTGGTCTGAACCAACAGGATCCTACCTCTCTTTCCCTGCCTCCCTACCACAACTACTCCAAAAGTCTAGTGATGAAGACTGCAGTGACTATGCCATTCCTTAGTTTTCAGGATACTGTTAAAGGTACATCAATCCAGCTAAGAAAGAAAGGTGGCATCCCTAACTCTGATTTCCCAGTTGCTTGAAATTCTTCTCTATTGATCCTTTTTCTACTGCACTACCTCTTGGTTGGGTAGGAGAGCCCTTCCTCCTTTTCTCTGGCACTATCCATCATTTGAGTCCGTTTTCAAGTTGCACAAACAGGATACCATTAAGCAGTCTAGGCAACTGAGCATAAAATAACTACCACTCCCTGTTTGCCATTGCTTTGTTTGGGAATATAGCTGAACAACAAGAGCACATCGATTTGTGAGACATAATATGTACTTAATACACAGAGAGAATACTGTGAATTTACTTTGGAGTAAAAAATTTATATTTGTTTGTGTGTCCTGTCTTCTAGGCTTTTGCTCTTGTTTCAAGGCTAATTTCTCAGTGTAAATATGATCTACTGGAGGAGCTTGTATCAAAAGAGGTAAATGTTTATTTCCATTGTTATGGTGAAACTGATATATCCATTGTTCCTTAAGCTGACGTAGTAGACCAAGACTAGAATACATTATTTGGGTCATATTTACCCCCATCTATTGCTTAAGCAGGAATAGCAACTGACACCTCAAAAAACTGGGTTTAGCACCTGAGCTTCTGGTAACAGAAAGCAGGATGTATCCTCCTGTGTCCTGCAGTTTAAAACCTACTCACTGCCACTTCGTACTCTCTTCATTCTTTCTTCAGTCCCCCCCCCCATTTAACTCCCTCAGTTCTACTGCCATCTCTTAAAGAAGCACAGGTCCATAGCTCTTTCAGTGGGAAGGCTCATTCCTGGAGGATGTAGTACTACTAGGAAGACCATCTATGAACACATGCAGAGTACTTCTCCCCTCATCAGTGAGCTATCTCCACCACCAGCCACTCATGGGGGGAAAGGCTCCCAAGTTAGAGACTGTAACCTTTATGGAGGGACTAAGTTGTGAGACCTGAATCTCTCAGTTAAGCACCTTGTGAAGAGGAGTGTGCCTGGTGCCCAAACTCAGCTCCCTGTAGAGCACATCCTTGGAGATCCTGCTGTCTTCCATTCTGTAGATGTGTTAACAATGATCCCTTCTCAATCAGATGCTGCAGGTGCTGAAGGAGAAGCTCTCTTCACTTTCTGAAAGCCACAGAAGTGCCCTAGCTGCTGACGTGGATGAAATAATGTACACAACAGCAGGAGATGTTGGCATTTACTATGACGACAGTGGTATGCAACCGGTTCAGAATGCTTTACTTTAAATCCTTTGGCCACTTTTGGGAAACACTTATCATCCGTTGTCTGTGATACTGTTCAAAGTACTTTTCTTCAATCTGATGCTAACATTAATAATATTAAGGGCTTCTATGCCACTAGGGGGACGCGGGTGGTGCTGTGGATTAAACCACAGAGCCTAGGACTTGCCGATCAGAAGGTCAGCTGTTCGAATCCCCGCGACGGGGTGAGCTCCCGTTGCTCGGTCCCTGCTCCTGCCAACCTAGCAGTTCAAAAGCATGTCAAAGTGCAAGTAGATAAATAGGTACCGCTCCAGCGGGAAGGTTAACGGCGTTTCTGTGCGCTGCTCTGGTTCACCAGAAGCGGCTTAGTTATGCTGGCCACATGACCCGGAAGCTGTACACCGGCTCCCTCGGCCAATAAAGCGAGATGAGCACCGCAACCCCAGAGTCGGTCACGACTAGACCTAATGGTCAGGGGTCCCTTTACCTTTACCTTTAATAATAACTTCCACTGTATTAAGCATGGGGCTCATTCTCTCTTTGGCATGGCAGTTTTTGAGTGGACAAAGACCTAAAGCAGGCTTCCTCAACCTTGGCTCTCCAGATGTTTTTGGCCTACAACTCCCATGATCCCTAGCTAGCAGGACCAGTGGTCAGGGATGCTGGGAATTGTAGTCTCAAAACATCTGGTGGGCCGAGGTTGAGGAAGCCTGACCTAAAATCTTTAAGCTGATTAAGAACCTTTGAATAGCTGAGTGGAAGTAACATCCTTTCTCCATCAACAATCTGTTGTCCCACCACCTTCCTCACCTCCTTGAAAGCTGTAGTAGGTGTATAATAGCCTTCCAAATTAGGCTGTATGTGTGTGTTTGTTCTTAAATGGAGCATCTTTCTGCTCCATCCTTTTTGTACCAATCCACTTGTCAAGCTGTAGAATCGTATTTCCTCTTCTAATACTCTGTTTATCTTGAAAACAGGAAGAAAGTTTGTTAGCATCCTGATGCGTTTCTGGTATCTGACGAGTGCAGACCTCCCTGATGAGACTCCAGATGGAACCAAAATATTCCAGGTCGTGTTTGGAGATGAGACTTCACAGGAAACGAAGCGTCTTTTAACAGCAAATTATGAGTAAGCACATCCTTGGTTTTCTACGTGGCCACAGCATTGTGCTCTGTGTATAAAGAAACTCCCATCAAATCAGTGCATTTTAGCTCAGGGTGTACTTTCCTGAAGAGAAAAACCCATGCCATTGTGAGAAAGCCACTTAGTTGACTATTTTCTCTCCTGAAATGTGAGCAACAGTAAGGTGGGTGTGGGGGATGAAGAAGATGATCGAATTTATGCACTTATAATTGTGAATAATACATAAATGTGAAAAAGTGGCAAATAAAAGTCGAGGCCATTAAACATTAAACTCCTGCAAAAGAGAGAATGTTTTAACAGGTCTCCTAAAGTATCGATACAGAAACATTAAGATTTGATTGGTTTATTGTCCCAACATTTATTGTACCATTGGGAAGTATCCAGCTAAATAAAAAAATTGTGAGAGTGGAAGAACCATTGGACTTTCTCTGCACCCCACACAATCCCAAAATCTGCTCCAGAGGGTTGGGGGGAACCCAAAACAGATTATCAGGAGTACAGGGGGAGAAGAGTAGGGAAATGTTTCCTTTTGCAAGGAGATAACCTTGTGCTGGTGGAATATTTGCCTTATTTCTACATTGAATACAACCCACTGGGATTAAGCAGCCAAGTTTGAGCCTATTATTACATTACCAAACGATACTTTATCCATCAGTTCAGTACTGGATTTGCTACAACACTAAAAGCGTTATAAAGGATTTGCGAAAGTTTTACTGCTTGGCTTGTGTTATAGTCTCTTATTTCTGTTCTTTCTCCCCCCCCCCCCCCCCCAGATTTCGAAGAGAATTTACACAAGGTGTGAAACCAGACTGGACAATTACACGGATTGAACATCCAAAGCTATTAGAATGAATTGACTGGACACTTTCATAGACAGTTATTAATATTCTGGCATATCAGAAGACATCTCAAGATTTGTGTGCCACAATCTTTTGTGGACTGCTTTTGTACTTCTTGATTACCGGAACACAGTCTTGCTCCAAAGCATAAAAATAAAATCTTTTTCAGCAGACTTGGAAACTTCACAGATGTGTTCTTTGCCCGCCGTTGAAAGCGTCATTCGAAGTCACTTTCAATACAAAGCATGCTAAGTGGTTATGCTGAGAAATATTGGTGTAAATTGGAAAGAAAGTGATGCATCGCCTGGCAGTTCATGACTGAATGTCCTGTTCCCCTCACCCCCAGTGATCTGTTCAAATGGTTTTTTCTTCGGAGGGTGTGCACAATAAGGAAAGAAGAGGAGTGTGTTCCAAACTTCCTGTTTTATGTGTAACCGAAAGTAGAAGTTACATAATGGATACATTATGGAAAAATCTTTGTTTTTCAGGAATATTAGAACTAATTTACAGCCTATCTCAGTGGTGTCCAAACTTTGTTCAAAGAGGGCCAGATTTGATGAAGTGAAGGGCCGTGAGGGCCAACCAAAGTTGTTGACCTTTTTTTAGGATTGAAGTGTTGAGCTGCCACAGGGGCCAGATTAAACTGACCATCCCCCAAAACGGACTTTGGACATGAGTGGGCTATCTCATCTGTAGCATTCCAGTGTGAAAGAAAAGATGCTTAATAACTTGTGGTTATACAGCAAGTTACCATATTTTTCACTCTATAAGATGCACATTTCCCCCTCCAAAAAATCAAGGGGAAATGTGTGTGCGTCTTATGGAGCGAATCCAGGCTCCTTGGCTTTAGCGATAGCAACGCAGAGCCTCCGAAGCGCAGTGGGAGCGCTCCCGCCGCACTCCGGAGGCTTCGCGTTGCTTTCGCTGAAGCCTGGAGAGCGAGAGGGGTTGGTGCGCACCAACCCCTCTCACTCTCCAGGCTTCAAAGATAGCCGCCTGAAGCCTCTGGAGCGCGGCGGGAGCTCCCGCCACGCTCCAGAGGCTTCGGGTTCCTTTTGCTGAAGGGTAGGTGCCCCTTCAGCTAAGGCGCAGCGCCCCTTCAGCTAAGCGGGAGGAGAAATGGAAGGGGCTGCGTTTCTCCTGCCGCTTCACTGAAGGGGTGCTGCGCAGAGAGGGGGAGAATTTTTTTTTCTTGTTCTCCCCCTCTAAAATAAGGTGAGTCCTATAGAGCGAAAAATACGGTAAGCTTTGTGATGAGCTCTCTTCCTTCACTGCCCGTCCCCCCCCCCCCCCTCGCTTAAGGTGAGGTACGTTAAAGGGTAAGAAGAAAGGGCTACTATAGGCTTGGTTCGATGAGCTCAATATGATTGTGGAGAGATCTGTAGAGCACGAAGCTGGATCCTTATACATGCAACGTGTGTTCTCTACCAGAGAGCTTATAAGTGAATATTATCTCTCCCTATTGAGAAGGCATCTGTTTTTTAGCTCCTGACTCAGCAATGAAGTGCACAGTCATATTGCAATTTTGGTATCGCCTGTATGAATGTGGAAGGATTTAAACACTGAACCTATATGGAGGGTTAGGCATATATTATCTCCACATCAGACTAGACTGTCTCATTGGCAAAACATGTTCTGTGACTTCTCATTCCTCCTCTTACAATGACCTGCTCCTTTCTAATGCTGACCATAAGCTGGCGGCTTAGGCACTCGTGGAAGAATCACTTCAGGTGTTACGTCAACATCAGCCATGATAAATGGATGCCCTGACTCTTCCCATATGCCACAAATATATATCGCCATCGATAGTGCCTACCAGCATCCGACAACTCATTCGTATGAATGGCATTCTAGTAAACCGTTGGAGGAGGCAAAACTGTTAACAAATGACCTAGAGGCTGCTTTCCCAAAATGCCTACCAATTCGGGGTGGAAGGTGGGGTGCTTTTTCTGCTGCTATCTTGCTTTTATCATTCTCATTATCTGAAAGCTAGCGCACCTACTGGAGAGGGAATATAATGCAGTGGAAAAGAACTGGTTTGCATGCAGAATCCCTGCATGCAAGTGTGGGAGACCTTTGGCTCTCCAGATGTTGTTGAACAACTCCCATCAGCCCCTGCAAGCGTGGCCAGTGGCCAGGAATGATGGTTCAGCAATATCTGGAGGGCCAAAGGACCCCCACACCTGATTTAAAAAACATTAGGTAGCAGGTGATAAGAAACCCTCTTCTTCCTGAGACTCCAGAGGGCTGCTTGGTAGACATATAATCTGACATGATATAAGAAAGCTTTCCCAAATTGCATAACCCAAAACACATCTGATGTATGCTTGCAGGGTGTGGACCAGGCCAGTGATTATGCTGTCAATTCATTAAGTAGGGCTGCTCACCAATTACCATATTTTTTGCTCTATAAGACTCACTTTTTCCCTCCTAAAAAGTAAGGGGAAATGTGTGCGTCTTATGGAGCGAATTCAGGCTGCACAGCTATCCCAGAAGCCAGAACAGGAAGAGGGATTGCTGCTTTCACTGCGCAGCGATCCCTCTTGCTGTTCTGGCTTCTGAGATTCAGAATATTTCTTTTCTTGTTTTCCTCCTCCAAAAACTAGGTGTGTCTTGTGGTCTGGTGCGTCTTATAGAATGAAAAATACGGAAAGTATCTGAACTACTGTCTCTCTCCAAAACTGATCAATTTCATTAACCAAACCTTCATAACATCTTCCAGCCAATGTGCTTTTCAGGATCTAAAGCAGGGTTTCCCAACGTTGGGTCTCCAGCTGTTTTTTGACTACAATCCCCATCATCCCTGAACACTGGTCCTACTAGGTAACGATGATGGGAGTTGTAGTGCAAAAACAGCAGGAGACTCAAGTTTGGGAAAGCTTGACCTAAAGGAAGCATAAAAGACCTTACAGTTTTAAAAAAACAAACAAACCCAGCAACTAATTGTTAAGGAGAAAAGAATCTATATTATTTTTAAGTTTGTCCCATTAGAGTAACACATTGATGCTGAAATGATTGTATAAAAATATAGTGTCATTAACTCCCAGTCTCTCCTATGATTCCCTCCCCCCCCCCCCCGATCAATTAGAATTTGCTCTATGTAATATTTGAATTAGTTTTACAGGTAGCTTAAACAAAGTATGAGGCGCTGTTTGTGATGCTTTCAGAACCTTGTATGTGATTCTGTGATGTCACTAAGAAATGTAAGAAGTGCTTTGATGGGTCAGGCCAAAGACTCATAAAGCCCTGCATTCTGTTTCCTGTATACCTGAAGGAACATCTCCACCCCCATCGTTCAGCCCGGACACTGAGATCCAGCGCAGAGGGCCTTCTGGCGGTTCCCTCATTGCAAGAGGTGAGGTTACAGGGAACCAGGCAGAGGGCCTTCTCGGTAGTGGCACCCGCCCTGTGGAACGCCCTCCCTTCAGATGTGAAGGAAATAAGCTATCTTGAAGGCAGCCCTGTTTAGGGAAGTTTTTAATACAGTGGTACCTCTGGTTACGTACTTAATTCGTTCCAGAGGTCCGTTCTTAACCTGAAACTGTTCTTAACCTGAAGCACCATTTTAGCTAATGGGGCCTCCCGCTGCTGCCGTGCCGCTGCTGTGTGATTTCTGTTCTCATCCTGAAGCAAAGTTCTTAACGTGAGGTACTATTTCTGGGTTAGCAGAGTCTGTAACCTGAAGCGTATGTAACCTGAAGCGTATGTAACCCGAGGTACCACTGTATTTAATGCTGTATTGTTTTTAACACTCAATTGGAAGCCGCCCAGAGTGGCTGGGGAAACTCAGCCAGATGGGCGGGGTATAAATAATAAATTATTATTATTATTATTATTATTATTATTATTCCAGCAGAGGCCAACCCTATGCCTTTGGGATGCCCCTAAGCAGGATATGAAGGCAATTGCCGTCGCCTGTTACTCCCAGGGATGGATATCCGGAAAGCTACCCTTCCTCTCATCCTGGAAGTGAGTCGCTGTAACGCCCATATGTACTTAGACATGCATGGCTTAATCTTTGAGACAAGCATATGCTGCTGGCAAGATCAACCAGGTAGCCACGACCAGCGGGTGGGTTGTCGTCGTTGGAACTGTGCTCTGGGGCCATCCCCTTGGCCGGGGCCCCACTGGCGGACGGCACACAAGCAAGCGGGGGAGCAGGAGAAGGATCCACCCGTGGAGGCAGGCGGGCGCCGAGAGGACGCAGGCACCGAGGTACCTTTACCTTTACCTACCTATATTGCCATTGCAACTAGAGAATCAATGCCTAAAACGGAGAGATCAGAAAAGTCAGGGGAAGGAATATTGCTGGGTTAGAGATACCTAGAGATGGATGAATTGCGGGCAGTGGCGCAGGGAGCAAAACGGATTAGCAAACATGAAAGCCCTCACCACAAGCTCGTGCACAAACAGAGAAAACTCAGCATTAACTAAAAGCGTGTTGTTAGTTTTTTAAGTTGCAATATTTCCCATTGTGATCCATGCTTTACGTTGATGAATGTTCTACAACAGGCAAACATTTTCTGAACTGAAAGCGGAAGGGAAGCACTACCTTGCCCAGGCAGGGTGAGAAAATAATTCTTGGTAAAGGCGACTGAAATATACTCTGAGTAGAGAGTGGATTTGATGCTCTTTATTCAGCTCATAGTGGTGAGGAGGAGTGGAAGTTCCCTCACAATATCTGCTTTATATACATTATTTACACAATGGGCTGCACGTGATTGGCTAATTCCGGGATTCTCCTGTAGGCCAATCAGGTTGTGGATTCACTTCCACCTGGAGCTGGATTGGGTGGCTCCTGCGGACCAATCATACTGCTGCATTCTGAATCCTATTGTTCTAGGACCAATCAGACTGCTGCATTTTGGATCTTATTCAACTCAGTACATAACAGCGACAATGATTAAATGAGCTATAGATATTGGTTATAATATAGAAATGTCAGGGTGGGAAAAACTATGGGGGGAAACTGAACTTCTTTGCCTGCCACCTTGTTAAGGAAAATTTACAAAAGGTGATGTACCAGTGATACTTGACACCCAGCAAACTGGGGAAAATGTACAGAAAGGGGTCAAATCTATGTTGGAAGTGCCATGAGGTAGAAGGAACCCTGATCCACATGTGGTGGTTGTGTAAATATGCTAGAGAATTCTGGGAGATGATTCATTAGAATTTAAAAGA